ATAAGGTTGAGAAATAATAAAAAAAAAAAAATGGGGAAAATTTAAACCCATTTTGTCCCTATTCTCAAGAATCACTTAACTCCTGACTTGTGATGTATTTTAGTTATTTAGTAACTAATTATTGATGCCATCCTTTCTGCAGCCATCAGGGAGAAATACAGCGACTGGACAGAGTTCCTGGTTCAGGACCTGACCGGGTCCAGAACGGCGCCGGCCAACCTGCTGGAGGGGGTGAGTGACTGTCCACCCATGATAACTGCTCGATTATGACATCATCAGGGTTTAAAACACCTGATCAGGTTGAATAGAAAACATTCTAGTCACTTTTCAGGGATTATTAAAGTTTAAACACGTAAATAAGCAAGAAGTCCTGATGTCAGCAGGACCCAGTTCTACCAGCAGAACATCAGAACCGACCCGTACTGATCAGAACCGACCCGTACTGATCAGAACCGACCCGTACTGATCAGAACCGACCCGTACTGACCCAGTCGTTGTTCCTCCAGCCGCTGCGTGGGAAGAACACGGTGGATCTGATCGTGGCCGGCTCGGTTCTGGAGCTGCAGAATCTTTCGGACCCACTGCTGTACTGGCCGGTCCGGGTGATCCAGAACATCGGCGGCCGTCTCCGGCTGCGGCCCGTCGGACTGAGCGAGCGGCACCGGGCGCAGGACACCTGGCTGTTCTACCTGGACGTGAGGCTCCGCCCCCTGGGCTGGGCCCTGGAGAACCGGCTGACCTTGGAGCCACCCACAGGTCAGAACCGGATCAGAACCGGGTCAGGACCGGTCCGGACTGCCGGCTCTGCACCTCGGCTTTGTTTGGTATGAAAAGGTTTTGATTGGATCGTCAGACAGTGACCTGTGACATCATCCTGCTTTGCCCAATCAGAGCTCAGGCCGTTGCTTAGCGACCGTGACTGGCAGCAGGCGCTGCAGAACGCGCAGGCGGACGGACAGAAGGACGCGGTGCCACTGGAGGTCTTCAAGGTCAGTCGCCATGGTTACCGCTCAGTCATGTCGGCCATTTTGGGAAACACATTTGATTCTCAGAAGACAGTTTAAGAATTTGTTGAGATGCTTTTGTTAATCCTTGTGAATAATTATATACATGCTGATAAGGAAGTGGTAAATCCACACAGTTCTGGCGTCTTGATGTCCCAGACGTTTGTTTTTCCTCGTTTTGGGTTTCCTGAATTCTCCTGTGTGCGTCATTAAACATGTGCTAACCCTCTGGCTGTTGCCATGGTTACCAGGACCACGCGGACCTGCCCAGGCACGCCTTCAGGACCGGGATGAAGCTGGAGATGGTTTCTCCGTGGGAGCAGCTCCTCATCCGGCCCGTTTCCGTCACCAAGGTGAGTTAAAGAGGCGCCCTGATGCAGCCATGCCGTGCTGCAGCGCATGCCGCAGCTGCCTCCCAGGCTGCGCTGCAGGATTCTTTGCATGCTTCTGTGGAGGCGGCCTCCTTCCTGACGTCGTTGGATTCCAGAGAATGAATCAGGAGGAAAGTTCTTCTGCCTTTCATCGTTTTTCCAGAAACGTCCTGTGACTAACAGACACGTCTCTCACTTTAACACGACGCGATGAGTCCCAGGTCACACAATCCAAGTTACTGACACAGAAACAGGATATGCTAGTCATGGTAAAAACAATCAGAGCAGTGAAACTGATCCCACTCCTGGTCCAGAGGAATTCAGCTGGAGGGAAAAGTCAGATTAATAATCCTCAGATTAGCATAAACTTCATAATCTAGGAATCTAATGTTTCCAATCTCTGAAATTTATCCTTAAATTTCCTTAGATGCAAAATCGACCAAGCAAGAGTAGCAATAGTTTATGAAAGTTAGTTAGATTATTTGGATTTGCAGTAGCAGTTGCCGTGACAACGGCTTGTTTTCCTGAGGTTCAGGAAAAGTCAAAAGTTAAAACACATTAGGACACATTAATAACGGATTAAACTTTGGAAACGGACAGACAGGAGCTCCTGCTGTGTGAAACTGAGATAGGAATAATAGAAAGATGGCCACTCTGAGGTAAAAATCAGAACCCAGATTAATAAACAGAGCTTCCAGTCCAGATGCTCTGAGAAATCCCGGTTCTGCTTCCTGTCCAGGTCTACAGCGACACCTACTTCCAGGTGACCTTGGATGACCTCTGCGCCGAAGCCGCGCCCCTTTCCGCCGTGTGCCACGCTAACTCGCCCGGCATCCTGCCGGTCCAGTGGTGTCTGAAGAACGGCGTGGCGCTGGAGCGGCCCCGGGGCTACGAGGGCCCGGACTTTGACTGGGCCGACTACCTGAAGCAGAGCGGCTCCGAGGCGGCGCCAGACGCCTGCTTTCCTGATGTAAGGACGGGAATATCGGATCATGTTCCCTCATATCATCAAACATTTCTCACTGGGAAATTAAAACTAACTCTAAATTATTATGAGAAAAAGCAAAAGATGATTCAAATATATTTTTATTAAAACCGTCAGGGAGAAAATAACAGAACAGCAGAAACATTTGTACAGGAGCTAACTAGGTAGCTTAGAGCTAACTAGGTAGCTTAGAGCTAACTAGGGAGCTTAGAGCTAACTATTTAGACTAATTATCATTTAGTTAGATGCTACATATTTAGCGTGCTAACAAAATAATTAGTTTGAAGCTGTTCTAGTTAAATACTTAGCTTGTTTATGAAATATTTGGTTTAAAATTGTGATATTTATGAATGAATGAATGACATGGTGAAAAATGAAAACCGTTTTTCTCTCAGGCTGAATAATCTGAATTATTGCTGCTCATTTCTGACTCTTTATAAACTCCATGTTGAGCTGCAGTCGTAGTGTGAAATGAAACATAATCTAAATATGCCTGCTGCGTTAAATAATTCAATTCATCATATTTTATTTTTAGCTTTTCTTGCAGGGTAACGTGAAGGAAAGAGTTAAAGTTTTGATGCTAAACAGAAAAAACTATTTTAGATTCCTGCTGTGAGAGTTGAACTAACCGCCTCCTCTGTGTGTGTGTGTGTGTGTGTGTGTGCCAGACTGGACACACTCGAGGCTTTGCTGAGGACATGTGGCTGGAGGCGGTGAACCCGGCGCGGCCGGAGGAAGTGTGTGTGGCCCGGGTCAGTCGGGTCCGCGGCCGCCTGCTGTGGCTGCGGCTGGAAGGTATTCCCTCTGCTCTCTTGCCTCTGGAGGAGGAGTTAGAAAAGATCCGTGACAAACAGCGCCACCTGTCTGCAGGCGTGCTGCAGCCGCAGTCAGAGTGCATCGTGGATGTGGAGTCCATGGACATCTTCCCAGTGGGCTGGTGTGAGGCCAACTCTTACCCTTTGACCCCGCCGCTCAGGCCCGTCTGTACGTACCGCCACAGTGACGCAGCTGCAACCGTCGCATTAAAACGACTGTTTCTGTGGCATTAAAACGTCGAATCCTCGTTGTGTTTCTGTCGTCCTGCAGGCCAGAAGCAGAAGAAGATCGCCGTCGTTCAGCCGGAGAAACAGTAAGAAACGGCGCCATGTTGAAAAACGTTTCATCAGCTTAAAGACCGGTTGGAGAAATGAGGCAGCCGGGAAACAAATACAAAACTTAAAATACTTTGAAAACATTTCTGGATGTAATTTTAGGAAGAATCCCAGGAAAATTAATCATTTTAGGTCAAATTGAGTCTAAAATTATTAAAATATGTCAACAATTCATTATTTATGCAGTTAAATATTGGATCCATTGTGTTAAAATGATGTTTAATTATTTCAGTGTTTAACATTTTTGGTGTTTTATTCCAGCATTAAATTGTCACCAGATGGATCCCGTGGTTCACATTTAGCTTTTTATCTCATCATTATTATTATTATCATTATTATTGATTTTCTATTTGTAGGAGAGACACGCGATCTTGGTCGCCCCTCCCCCACTGCTTTCTGACTTGTTCTGTTTTTTGCAGGTCGGCTCCGCCGGCCGAAGCGCCTCCTGTTGTCGCCTGCCAGCCCGTCGCCATGGATACGGGTAATTAACCCTGTAATTAATGTAACAAGTTAAACAAGATCATCATCCCTCCACTTCCTCATGAATATTCATCAGCCTGGGTAATCGGTGGGCGTGGCCTCGGCTCTGGTTCTGTCTTTACTGGTCCAGTCCCAGTTTGGGTTCAACCAAGTCAACATCTGACTGGTTCCCAGTACAAGACCAGAAGAGCCATCGATTACTTTAACGTTAGTTTGTTTCTAAATAACTAAATTTTACTTTATCTGGTCATTCTTAAAAAAATCGATGGAGAAAATAAAATTGTTGCTTTTATTTTTTGTTTTCCATTCGTTGAATTTTTTAAATTATTTTTCTCATCCTTCCATTGATTTTTCCTTTTTTGTCCATCAGTCCATCATTTTTCACTTTTTGCATCCATCCATCGATTAGTTATTGATTGTTTTGGTTTTTTCGACCTTCCATCCGCTCATCCAGGATTTCCAGGTTTTCCTGCTGATTCAGGAGGAAACGAAGTTCAGCCTGAAACACATGAAACTAAAACCCTTTAATATCTGATTGGCTGAATGCATGCTAACCTTCTGCTAACGTCCGTTTATTTCCTGTCAGCCACGGCGAACGGACGCTACTGCTGCTCCCGGGTTTTCGTGAACCACCGCTGCTTCTCGGGGCCGTACCTGAACAAGGGCCGCATCGCGGAGCTGCCGCGCGCCGTGGGGCCCGGGAAATGCTCGCTGGTGCTGAAGGAGGTGAGCCGCAGCCGACGGCGCCGCGCTCAGCCACAGTTCCCCCTCCTGACCGCCGTTTGTGTTTGTGCTGCAGCTGCTCAGCATGCTGATCAACGCCGCCTACAAGCCGGGCCGCGTCCTGAAGGAGCTGCAGCAGCTACAGGAGCCTGGATGGGACAGCCAGGAGGAAACGCTCAAAGCCAAGTAGGACAAACTCTCAGCGCCTCACTTCCTCCCCAGTCAGGCAGGGTTTGATGTTTGGGTTTGATGTTTGGGTCAGTCACATGCTTCACCTTCCTGCAGTTCAGAAAAACCTGCTGGAGGAACCGTTTTCCTCCAGAGCGACGGCACAGCGGCACAGGAAATCTCTTCTTCATCTCATCATCCTCAGTGTTCTTAAAGGGCCGGAATGCATCGATAAAAGCAGTTAAAATCAATAAAAAGCTGCGTATGGATCCAATAATCTGAAAACAAGTCAGATCCTTCTGGACTCCTCCACTGTTTGGGGATTTTCTGATTTAGAAATATTTATGATAAATTTTGATATTTACGTTCATGAATGACAGTAAATCAGATCACAGACGATAAGGTGACATCAGTAAAGCTGAAGCAGCAGTGGAGTAGACGGAAGATGCACTGCCCCCTGCAGGTTGGAGTTAGCATCACTTCACTCCAAAGTTTTTGACCATTTTTTAAGGAAATTTCCAATAAATTCTGTTGATTTTACCTGAATTTAAAAACTGAAGTAAGATGGATGTAATTCAGCATCAAACAGATAAAAACGGCTTTGATTTGATTGATAAAATATTAAAGTACAGAACTTTAATCTCTATAGTGCAGAGGGCCACATGAGAAGCTACAGCGGACCAAATCTGGCCCCAGGCCTCCAGTTTGGCACATGTGGTCTAGTTTTACTTTACTGATTAAAGAGTTCTAGTTTCATTGTCAGATTATTTCAGTCACAGCATAGCTGAAATAATCTGACAATAATCTGTAAACAACCTCCTGAAGCTTCGTCCCAGTCGTTTCTCTGAGCCGTTGATCTGAATCAGAGGTTCCTCTCGTCTGCGTCTGTCCTCAGGTATAAGGGGAAAACGTATCGCTCCACCGTCCGCATCGTCCGCCTGGCCGAGCAGATCCCAGATTTCTGCAGGAAGGTTTGTGTGAAGCTGCAGTGCTGCCCCAACCTGTTGGGCCCCGACCTGAGGGCCGACAGCTGCCCCGAGAACTGCTCCGTCCAGACCAAGACCAAGTACAGTGAGTCTGCAGAACCCGGCTGCAGCACCCTTCTGTCCTCTGCTGCAGCACCCTTCTGTCCTCTGCTGCAGCACCCTTCTGTCCTCTGCTGCAGCATATTACTACGGTAAGAAGAGGCGGCTCCCCAAGGCGGTGGGCGGAGACGAGGCCAAGCCGGCGCGCCGACGGAGGAAGAGGAAGGCCATCTTCGTCCAGAAGAAGAGACGCTCGTCCAACATGGACTACACCGCCGCAGGATCTCCTCAGGTCAGAGGAACCAGTTCATCTGCAACGAACTGATTCACTGAAACGGATTCATTATAAACGTTTGAATTCACCTTTTATTTTAGCTTTAATTATTTACAGTTTGCTATAAAATCCAGATGTTTTACTTAAGACACACCGTTTACTTTGTAAGCTACTGATAAACCTGGACATTTGAAGTCCATCTGACATGATGATGTCATTAAATGCTTCTTAAAATTATGAATACAAAAATATGCATCTGTTCAGAAGTTACAAATCTTTATTTGACCCAGATTTTCACTTTATACATTTTGTGAAGCAAAAAAGCAGACTACATCATCATGTAGGAATTTGGGGATTTACTATAAAAACATCTTTGTAAATGAAATCTAACAATATTTTGAACCAAAAGGGCTTAAATCTTTAAGGTTTGCCATAATTTCCCCCATTGGAAATGAACTCAGGATGGAGCAGATTCCCTATCAGCTAAAACTGCTGAGTCAGATTGTTCAGCTTCTGACACTGTTGGTTCTGTTATCGCTCGTCTGAACTTAAACAACCAGACAGTCACAGTTACTGCCGCCTCACGTTATTCACACATTCACCAGCTAATGACGGAGTAAAATGTGATTTCAATGCTTGCACTCGTTTTGTGCGTTAAGCTGAGAAAGCACCAAGCAGAGAAGAGCATTTTTATTTTAAATGAGTTGAACTCAAACGTTTCCTTGGATTGTTGCTGCACTTTAAGCAACCTTTGCAGGAATATTAATTCATGAATTATTGATATAAATTAATCTCCATCATGTCTCTATCTGTATAAAACTGAGGTTCTTTAAAATGACCTGCTGGTACTAGAAGTGTCATGCTGTGGGCTGTGGAGCTGAACTTTAACCCTGATTTCTCCTCCGTCCCTCAGGACAGCGATGAGGAAGAGGAGGAGGATGAAGAGCTGATGCAGTCCTGCAGCGAAGGCAGCAGCTCCGAACCGCGAGACGACCAGACCGACGCCTCGTCTGTGGAGGCGACCGGCGGCGGCGGGCGGCCGCGCCGGGCCGCGGCGCTGCGCAGGGCCTTCAGCGCCGCGGTGAGCCTGAGACCATTGATCAATGGATCGATTAATACCATCAATCATTTCCATCGTTTTGTTTGCTCTCAGCTAGCCACTCTTTAAACTTCAGTATTTCAGTTTATTTCTAATTCACAGAAAATGTCAGACCACTAAAAAATAATCATTTCAATTCAGCCTCACATAATTCCAACAATCAGTTCAATTATGTTCAGTTTTTATTCTAATTAGTTTAAAAGTGTCAAGCAGATTCCATCGAGTCGTCGACTGGCAGCAGTCAGTCCTCCTGGCCAGCAGGGGGCGACAAGGCGCTTTACAGTAGCCCCTCATACTGGGCACAGAAACCTCCAGCAGAACCAGAACCGGGCTCAGTGCCGGCGGCCATCTTGGTTCTTTTAGTTGTTTTGTTTATTTAGTTTGAATTTTTAAAATGTTGCTTAAAAAAAGTTTATTATTATTTTAGTTGAAAATAGTTTAAACCAAAATGTTACTGCTTATGGCAATAATTCAAATTTATCATCCAGTAACGGTTGTTATGGTAACAGGCGTTCGGATCGTTTGGCTCCGGCCCGTTCGGCGCCGCCCACCAGCCTCCAGACGGGCGCCGGCGTTCGACCCGATCCCTGTCCGCCTGCAGCCACAACAACAGGCAGCAGCACAAAGACGTCAAGGTGAGACAGAGACGCCGACCTGCAGGTCCGGGTCGAACCAGAACCAGAACCAGAACCCGGCAGTCAGAGTCTCGTTCTGATCCGTTCAGGTGGAGGAGGACGGCCAGCTGGTTCTGGACCGGAACCCGCTGGGGTGGAGCGTCGACGAAGTCGTCCAGTTCATCAACTCCACCGACTGCGCATCACTGGCCAACATCTTCAAGGAGCAGGTACACACACACACACACATGCACAAGCACACATATGCACACACACACATGAGCGCACACAGACACAGAACGACTCGATAAATTATATGTTATAAACCTGAAATAAATTTCTGCATGAATAATCTGAACATGTAATACCACAGATGGCCACTAGAGGGCTGACATGGTAAATCTGAGTCGAAAAAACTATAAAAGAAATTTTGAATAAAAGAAACATGACAGACCAGAACCGAATGACAAAGCTTAGAAAAAAACGCTGCGGCGGCCATCTTTACTGAGGTAACTGAAGCGCTGCGGCGGCCATCTTTACTGAGGTAACTGAATCGCTGCGGCAGCCATCTTTACTGAGGTAACTGAAGCGCTGCGGCGGCCATCTTTACTGAGGTAACTGAAGTGCTGCGGCGGCCATCTTTACTGTTGGGTGGTTCTGGGATCGTAAACTGTTCACCAGGAATAAAAAACATTTCTAAAGGTGACATAAGGAATGGAAACAGAGGAAGTGTGTTTAACGTGTCCACGTTCATGCCGCTAATCTGAGCAGAATAATCCCGTGTCTGGATTATGAGGCCTGTGTCCTGTGGTTTGCAGGACATCGACGGCCAGGCACTGCTGCTGCTCACGCTGCCCACCGTCCAGGAGTGCATGGACCTGAAGCTGGGCCCGGCCATCAAGCTGTGCCACCAGATCGAGCGCGTTAAGGTCGCCTTCTACAAGCAGTTCGCCTGAAGCTGCTGTCGCCACATTACCACAACAAAATAGTTCATTTCTGTTTTTGTTTGAATCTGTTGAACCTGAAGCAAAAAGAGGAAGAGACGATCGCTCGAAGGATTTATTTTGGTGTTGTTCCTGTTCAGTTTGCTCTGCCGATCTGTGAAGAAATGTTTAATTTCCTTTTTATTTGGAGGGAAATCCCGGCTTATTTCTGTTCGTCTGATTGGTTCCCTAAACATTTAATCCTAAAGTCGTAAGGAGTAATATATTGTGAGGTATTTATTATTTCCTGGTATGTAAGGAGAATCTGGAACGCTTGATTTACTGCACTCTCTCCTTATTGTTACAGAAAAGAGAAAAATCATCTAAGCTATTTTGTGTCCATCTATGCAATTGTGCTGCAGATATTTTTGATAAAATAAATTTCTATGGATTTGTAGTTTTAGCTGTTTTTCTATGATGCGTGGGGAAATGATTATTGATGCCATTTTAGTCTTTATTTACCTGAGCAGTTCATTTTATAATTGTGTTCTAGAAACAAGAAAATCACCTTTGACCTTTCCAACAAGGTCAAAGGTGATCTGACCAAAGCTTCTGGCATCAGACTTTCTGTGAATTGTACGATTTTGTTTATCTGCTGTGAAAAAGTGAGGTTTTGTTTTTCAAATTCATATTTTGTACCATTTTATGTATTAATTTGTAAATGTCAGTTTCAAACTAAATATTTAAATAGCTAAATATTTAGCTTGCTAACTAAATAGCAGCTGACACTGATAAGTCACACGAAAAGTTTATATCAATGTTCGCAAGAACCAGCTTTTATTTTGGTAGTCCACTTCCGGTTACTGGCAAGTAAATTTGCATATTAGCGAAATATTTATCTGGGATCTAAATATGTAGTTTGAGGCATAAAAATGAGCTTTCCAATGAAATATTTAGCTTCTAACCTAATGTTTAGTTTGGAGCTCTTTAGCTTAAAGCTAACTGTTAGCCTCTCAGTCAGATCAGACCAAACTGAAGCTAAAAGCTAACTGTTAGCTTCGCAGGGAGCATGGCGTCGTGTTGTTCTGCTTCAGTGGAGAAAAACTCACCAGTTTCTAACTTCACGGTCTGAGGAGGAGGAAGAGCCGAGGTCTGCTGGTTGGAAAGCCGAACGCCTTTAACCTTTAACCCTCCGTCTCTACGTCACTGATCTGTCTGTGATGTAGATAATATGATGTAGATATGATGTAGATAACATGATGTAGATAACATGATGTAGATAACATGATGTAAATAACATGATGTAGATATGATGTAGATAATATGATGTAGATAACATGATGTAGATAACATGATGTAGATAATATGATGTAGATAATATGATGTAGATATGATGTAGATAACATGATGTAGATAACATGATCAGCAGCTTTCTGACATTTTCAATCATTCTCATCTCAGAGGTGCTGAGAAAAGTATTCACAACCCAACAGATTTATTCAGTTTTTACTTTTTTGTCACATTTAAATGTTTATGATCATCAAAAATATGTTGATATGAAACAAAAATCTGAAAAGAGGTTAAAAAAAAAAAGGTGCGATCCCTGAATGGAGTTCATCTGTAAATTATTGATCAGTCTAAAACTAATTGAGGATTTAATCGATCGTAAAGCTGCAGAGTTTCAGGTCAGCGGTGAAAGAAGCGAGTCGGTTAACCAGACGGAGATCTTGCTCTCACTTTCACACACAAACCATCACCTGAAATCTGGGTCAGACGGAGGAGGAAGAGGAGCAGAGTGACGAAGAGGAGGTTCAGACAGCCTCTCTCTGCTGGTTCCAGTTTCTCTACTGGGACCAAACTGGTGGAAATCTAAAACTTTCCGGCTGCTGCAGGCCGAGGAGCCCTGACTCGGGTTGTGTCTGAGCTGAAACCGACACTTTGGTTTTATGGAGTTTCACATAAAAATGGGTGAAATGTTAAAAAAGTTTGTTCGTCTGCAGGAAAACTTCATTCTGAGGTTTATTTTCCATAAACTCAAACTTTACTCCACATGAAGGAATAATTATTGCTAATCTTTTTCTTTCTTTCTTCCACAAAACACAAAATCTTACCAAGTTTTCATCTAGTTTTTCCTGCAAATATCATATTCCACTGAAATAACTGAGAAGTTACTGTTCAGCAGTAATTCTGGACCTTCTGGTTCCACTGACAGATTTTTCACTTATAATAAAACATTTTTCAATCTTAAAAGTGAAAATCTGTCAGTTCTGTCATCAATATTAAGCAATTGACTCAAAACAAGTTCCTGTGTTTGCTGAAAAGTTATTTTTAAGTAAATTTAGTTTTATTTTTATTGCACTGAGACGTGTGCAGCAGAAACTGTATAAAATATTTGGTTTCATTTGGATGTTTTCAGTGTTTAGGTCAGAGGTCAGAGGATCCTCTGGATCTTTGTTTTCAGATTTAAGATGCTCGCTCATTCAGTCCCACAGCCCCATGCTGCCTCCATCGTGCCTCCCAGTGGAGTTGGCTTCTTCAGCAGACGTTCCTCTGGCTCCAGACGAACTCCTTCCTGTGTCACGGCGACTCGGTGACCTCCACTTCCTTTCTGCAGGTTGTTTGGAGGGATTCTGTGAAAACAGAGTGTGTTTTCCAAAAGCATGTTTCTAAATCTAAACACACATTTTGTCTCTTTCATTTCAGTGCAGATGCAGAGGGAGGTGATCACAGACTCAGAGGGATCAGACCGTCGTAAACTGGAGAAACCACAAGACAAAACAAACTGGGAGAGCTGGGAGAGCGAAACCAGTAAACTGTCAGAGTAAATCTGCGGTTCTTCTTCCTTAAGGTTTTCTGGTTTGTGTCAGAACTTTTCTGTTTGTTGACTCGATGTTTTGAAGCTGAACTGATTAAATGATTTTTTCTCCTCTGTTCTGATTCTAAACTTTGACTCGTTTCTCCTCACCTGCTCACTTCCTGCGGCTTCGCCGCTCGCATAAAGCTGACTCACTTCCTGTCGCTGCGTTTCACAAACCGCTGCGTTTGTAGTGCATGTGCTGCAGGCTGTGTGTGTGTGTGTGTGTGTGTGTGTGTGTGTGTGTGTGTGTGTGTGTGTGTTTCAGCTGGGAGATGAATGTCTGGGTTTCATNCATCTGATCCAAACTGCAGGGCGGCAGCTGATTGGCTGCTGGTTTCCATGGCGCCGGCTCTCAGTCCTGTCCTCATCCACTGAACAAAAGATTTTTATAAAACATAAACTCTTGAATGCAAATATTTAAATCTTAATTCTCATAAAATATCAATTTTTAAACAGCAGATTCATTTAAAACTCATCACAAATTAATAATAATAATAATAATAATAATAATAATAATAATAATAATAATAATTTGGCTGCTGTTGTAATTACTTTTTAACAAAGAGTTTGCATGTTTTATATTTATGCATCTTCAGATTTCTGCATTCAGTTTCCCTGAATATCAGCAACCTGCAAGAAAACTAGAAAGGAAATATTTCAGAGATCAAATAAAATTTTAATCAAACATAAAATCATTTATGCTGTTGCTTTGCAGCAAGAAGGTTCTGGGTTCAATTCCCAGCCTGGGTCTTTCTGCATGGAGTCTGCATGGTGGGTTTTTTCCAGGTTCTCCGGTTTCCTCCCACAGTCCAAAAACACGACTGTCAGGCTAATTGGCCTCTCCAAATTGCCCCTAGGTGTGAGTGTGTGTCCTGTGTGTCTCTGTGTTGCCCTGCGACAGACTGGTTAAAGCTGCTAGAAAAGCCTTCACCAGAAACTCTGAAATTTTCAGATTAATTTCAAAAATTTTCTACAACAAACATGGAAATTTTTTGAGTTAGAAAGTCTTAAATATTTGACTTTACTCAGAAAATCTTTGTATATTTTTCTTGAGTTCATGAGTTTCCACTTTTCTCCTTTTTCCATCTCTTCTGTCCCGGCTCGCCGTTGTATCCTTGAGTTGCTCTCTCTTTAAATCCGACTCATCTTCCTCTCACACAAGTTGCTTGTTTGTAGTTTCACATCGGCCCCGCCCCTGAAAATGTTGGGAATCACCATGGCAACCAGCAGAGGAGAAAACTTGCACCTTTTTAAAATATGTTGGGATTCACCTGTCATCCCCTGTTCCCCCAGCATGATGCTGCCACCACCAGCATCATGGTGGCAGCATCCTGACTCCCTGATGTTATCATCCAACAAAAACAATGAATGTGAAATAAAAAAGTTAAAGGATGAAAACTCTGAAACATTTTTTATAAATAATAAACTGCAGAAAATAAAACCTGCAGGAATCAGGACGGTATCCATGGAAACAGCAAAAAAAACAGAGACATGATCAGAAAAATGAGAAGCAGGTGAGCTAATCAGACGACGAAGAACAGCTGGGAGAGAAAACAGGAAACATTCACATCCAAATGATGAGAAGAGGAAGAGAAAAGGTAAGAAACTAAAACCTGCAAGAGAAATCAACTGAATGTGGATTATTTTAAAAATATTTGTCAAATTTTCCACCACGTAATCCATTTGTTTAGTTGTTTTAGTTTATTTCTATTATTTCTCCTGTTTTAGCTTCATAATGAACATGAAAACATTTTATTACAGTAACTGGGAAGGTAGCAGGATTAGAATGAGCATTCACATCAGGAGTTCACTGCAAACTGTTAATTCAAACTGCAGCGAGCAGAGGACAGCGCCCCCAGCAGGCAGCGGCTGGACGGTCCATCCAGCCGACCTGCAGAAAACCCACAAACCGCGGAGCCGAACCGAGGACAATCAGAGACAGAAATGTGTTAAAGTTCACAGCAGGAAGGAGTTCATAGCCTCATTCATTCATCAGCCGCAGCAAAACTAAGAACGAAAAATATGAGAAGAGTAGGAAAGAGTAATTTAGGAAATATTAGAATGCAAATTAAAACTTAAAATAGAAACTGCCTCATATTTTATTTGCTTTGAGGCTGAATTAGTGACAGGATTAATCAAAAGTTAAAATGAATTTTATGAATAAAATGTGAGAGAGTTTCTGCTCTGGAGAATCATCACATAAACCCAGAAATGAACATAAATATGTCTCATATGTTTAAATTACATTTTTCCTTTCCGCCTGTTTCACTCGGACTGAAAAGGTCATAACATGAACGGTGGCGCCCCCTGGTGGAGAACCGAGGCAGCGGAAACGGCCACAGCAGCAACATAAAATGAATAAACTATAACTTTAAAACATCTATGAAATGCTATTTAAACCTGCTGAGATTACTGGAAGTAAAACGAAAACCGGATTTTTGGTATTTTATTTATTTTTATTGAAAAAGTGAAAATAAATTGCAAGCAGGGGAACAAACAGGTTTGAACTTTTATTACATCAAACTTAATAGAAATTATGTTTCCAGTCCGCTTTACATTATTAAAATAATTATTTTATGTTTTTAAAGAAGAAATTATATTTATTCAAGCACCAAATTTGCTTTATATGTGGAACAGAGAGAAAAATATTTAAATCTTTTCTGTAGTTTTCACTTTGATAAAAACTGACTCAACATTTAATTTTATTATAGTTTCAGTTCACAGAAAATAATCCAGACAAGAAGAACTCAACAAATTTAAACATGAAGTGAAGAATCAAATATAACAGCATAAGCAGCCATATTTCATATTATTTTCCAGTTTGATTCTAATTAAACTGAATTAAATAAAATTCAGTTTATAATGCCTATTATTTGTTAAAGGAAGGATGTGGCGACAGTGGGGAGAAATGATTCCTTAACAAGATGAAACCAGAACCAGGATGATCGACCCGTTAAACACAGATTACCTGAACAGAACCAGGATCACTTTCCGAACGATCAGCTCAGACTCAGATTTAATGTGAAATCAGCTTGCCGTAACGTCAAATCCCTTATGAAGCTCAGAGCCATAAAGCTGTAAACTTACTATTCTGCCAATAAATACAAAATATAACAAAAATCTGCAGGAACATTTTATGTTTCACATCCATCCATGGAGCCCAACTCTGTAACAAACACCTAACCCTGTCAAAAACAGATCATATTTAATCTCTTGTTAGTTTTTGTTAGTTTTTATTAAAGGCAGAAACATAGATATGCAAACCCAGCGCCACATAAGAGTTTTGTTTCTTATGTTCAATAAATTTAGGTCATAAGTTTAGTTTCTGTTTCGATGTGAAGCTTGACTGAGTGTTGCGTTTAAAGACTAAAGGGAGAATTTGCTGCTCTTCGCTTAAAATCTTAATCCAGCCTCTGAAAAAGGTTAAGTGCTAAAGTTAGAAAAATAAAACCACAAAGTAATTTGTGGTTTTTATAGATTTTTTTAATCTATGTTTGTTTCCGTTAATAAATAAAAATATTTAATTCTAAATTAAATTTTACGGCGACCCGCGTCTTCGATCGATTTTATTTTATGTAAACACTCACAGGGCAGACAGGAAATAAAAACCTCCCTCTTTCTCTGGTCTAGTTTAGATGAGAAGCGGTGGCTGGAGGTGATAAACATTCCTACGGTCCGTGAACGCGTCACGCAGCCCGTTTAAACGCTGCGGCTCCGTTTCCTCCGCTCAGAGTGGGAGCCGCGGCAGGAAGCTGCAGTCCGCCGGGAGGTGAGTACTCTGAGCGGTTACTATGACCTTTATCACTTCCATCCAGTTTAGCTAAAGTATCTCAGCGTTTCCCGCCATGAAAACCGGCTGGTTGTCGTCAGACTGGAGGTTCCGCGCAGGTGAAACAAATAAAAGGTTATACTTTACGTATTGTGAGGCATTAAGTCATGTTTTTCTTAAACACGAACAATTTCTGTGAAATGGTTATCTACATATTTGGCTATAAACCAGATGCTTTCCTCCGTTATTCGGTACAAAGTTTTTTTCTTTGTTCTCAAGCCTGAACAGACGTGAAGTTGTTGTTTAGCCACCAAATAAACAGTTTCCTTCAGGAGGCGTCTATAAAACGTAAAAAGTCTTTTTCAAAGTGTCTGGCAGGTTTTGTGAGTTCAGGCTGAAAGAGGCTAAAAATGACTGGAAAGCAGCAGAAGAACAGCAAGCATGTGGCGACAGTGGAGACAACAAACCTCGATTTAACCAGAAGAAATGTAAAAAAACTCATCATGAATAGACAATACGTTTTCTTTATATACAATGAACTGTACAGCATAAATAACGACATATTTAGTATTAGATTATGTAGAATTTAAAAGGCTTTATTGAGTCATTTTTATAAAAAGATAAACAAACTATAAAGGAAATGGATGCCAACGTATTTTCATTTTCTTCCACATCCAGATCATGAATATTCTTAAAGGGCCGGTTGGTGCAGAATGTATTAATAAAACCCGTTAGAATATTTTTAAAAAATGTCTCTGGATTCAATATATACTTCTTTAAACACATGATTATTTCACTGATTTGTGTGGAGCTAATTTAGAAATTTTGCGGTGTTTGCCCTCATGTGAGACGATAACTTGACATCCAGTAAAGTGGAAACAGAAGTAGAAGTAAGAAATATCGCCGCCTGCAGGTGGGAGTTAGCATCACGTTTTTGTCCATTTGTGCAGAAAATTTGCAATAATATCACAATTATGCAGAAGCGTGAAAAAGTGCAGGGATCACAAACTAACTAAAAACTGGAGGGATTACAAACGCACAAAATGTTTTAAAATATTCTGTTAATGTGGAAAAAACACAATTTTGGAAATGCTGTTTCTGTTAAATAAGAAAGAAAATTAAAATCACACGTGAATAAGTTTGTTGAAGCGATGCGTCATTAAAAAACCTGCAGCTCTTCATCCTGCTCCACTTCCTGTTGTCGTCTTCTTCGTTTCCTCCAGTAGTAACATCCTGTTGTTCATTATCTGATCAGAAAGTTTCTATTGGAGCCAAAACCAAAAAACAAGAAAAGGTTTCAAAACTGGTGAGTTTGCATGAATCTGGCAGTGTAAGGCCACCAGTCCATCCCTGCAGCCGCTGATCCGACTCAAACGACGGCAGGAACCAGAATCTGTTCAGACGGTTTCACACCACTGAGCGTTTGGCAGTAGGCAGTATCTTCTCATCTCCATCCTAGAAAACGTTTCTCCTAATCTGTAGTGAAAGATCAATTACTGCCGCCACGTTTAACAGTCCAGCAACTGGTTCTGGTTCTGGTCGGGTGGATCAGAAGTGTTCTGACTGTGTGGGTGGAGGTGAGCGGTGCTGGTTCTGGTCGGGTCTGGGGTCTAGTCAAAGGCCTCTCAGAGAACAAAGGTCCTGGCTGAGTTCTGATGGATGACGGGTCTGAAGGTCGCGGCTCGCCACGCCGCCGCGACCTTCGTCTGATCTCAGGTCGACTCAGAGGGGGGTGACCTTCATCCTCCTCCTCTTCCTCACCTGCATGGCTCTTCACAGGAGGAAAAGAAAACGATAAAAAGAGAGAAACATTTTCTCCTGATGCTCAGAACCTGATTTAAGATCAAAGATCCATTTATGGATCCTCCTTTAATCCATAGGATTAGGATTATTCCTGTTATTTTCAGACAGAATCCGTCCATCCATCCATCCATCCATCCATCCATCCATCCATCCATCCATCCATCCATCCATTCTCTATGTTAAGGTTTTATAATCATTTTTTAAAATCTGCTCTAATACGGAGTGAAAACTTGCATCACAGTAAAACCTCTGTGTGGCACCAGAACCAGCGCGTGGTCCAGTTGGTCCAGCAGAACCAGTAGAACCCGTCCTGTGGTTGTTGTGCAGGTGTTTTCGCAGCTCGGCGTGTCGTGTTGCTCCGGGTCGAGTCCCGTCCTGGACGGATTAAAGCGGCAGCAGAAAGTTTGGACTCTGGAGGTTCTGGATGGACGGAGGAACCTCTGGCTGCAGCTGTAATCTGGTCCAGTTCAGACGTTTCTAAACGCTGCAGACCTGAAGTTCAGCTGCTGAGCAGGAACCGTAAAACCTCAGTATGCTTCAGCTTCACTGGGGAGACGATAATTCATCCAGAGTTTTTACTAAAAGGTGGAGAAGCAGCGAGGATAAACGGCAGATTAAAGACGTTTGGTTAGTTTCACGGCTCACCGGCCTTCCAGAGGTCAGATGTTCAGACTCCTTGCAGCCTCCAGGACCAACTGAGACGGTTTTTCTTTCTGAACATTTTTCAGCCGTCCCACCGATCGGCTCTTCGTCTCTTCTTGTCTGTATCGTCAACAATTCTGTGCAAAATTCCTGAACTGCTTCATTTCTTCCCTTAAAGCATCAAAACGTTTTTAAATCTTTGAAAGCCGGAGTCGGGATCGACTTTTTACTGGTTTTCTGACGACCACAGGAGAATTTCATCGTGCTAAGCTCCTTAACTCTGACCTCTAACTCGGCTGAAAAGCTCCTAAAGTTTCCGTTGAGCAGACAGTCGGAGGGAGATGTGATGAATAAAAAGGTTTCCCAGATGAACTGCAGCGTTCAGAGAGCAGAATCGGTCCGTCTGTCAGAAGTTACAAAACCACTGAAATTTAACGTTGAAATCTGTGAAAATAAGAAATGAAACATTTAAAGTGATTAGAGGAGCCGACCAGAGGAACGCCCAGCAGTCTGAGCAGTTTTCATTTCTACCATCGATTCACAAACTACAAATATTATTAGATGATTGTTGGTTTTCTAAAAAGAAGAAAAATCAACTAAATTCAGAAAAATTACTTAGAAAATTAAATAAATATTCTCAGTATGTCTGCATGAAGAATGAAATGAAGGTTTTATCACAAACTAATAAATATTTAACCTCCTGTAAGTTAAACACTGATCTGAGTTAATAAATTATAGAAAACCTTGTAAATATTCTCAGACTGAGAATATTTATAATATGATATAATATAATATAATATAATAAAAGCCTGAAGAATAAAAGACTTTCTGTTTGAAATGATGTTCAATCACCAATTAACTCTAGTTTTTAATTAACCAAAAGTTCAAAAATTCAGGAGAAAAATCCAAAATTCAGAAACAAAAGTAAAGTTTGGATGATTCATCAGCGCCGACTGGAAGCAGAGAACAAAGTTCCAGCCGTTTGTTTGAACTAAATTCTGATTTTAATATTTAATGTTTTTCGTTCATTTTGTTTCTTCTCTGTAAAGTTGAAACTGCATCAAACCCACTGAGAAGGAAAACGTTCAGACAGGAAGTGTGGTTGGTGTCGGAGCCGTGAACTCCGGAAGTTTGACTCCGCCCACTCAGTCGCATCAACAAGTCGCAGCTAAACGCCACGCTGCAGCTACAGCAGCTCCCTGCCACGCTGCTGCAGCAGCTCCCTGCCACGCTGCAGCTACTGCAGCTCCCTGCCACGCTGCAGCTACAGCAGCTCCCTGCCACGCTGCTGCTGCAGCTCCCTGCCACGCTGCAGCTACAGCAGCTCCCTGCCACGCTGCTGCTGCAGCTCCCTGCCATGCTGCAGCTACAGCAGCTCCCTGCCATGCTGCAGCAGCTTTTTTACACTGCAGCATCAGTTTTAGTGGATCTCGGTTTAACCATGTTGATGTTCATCACTGTTACTGTGAACCGAGTCGCTGCCTGTCCAGTCCTGTCCGGTTCTGTTTGGTTCTGTCCGGTACTGTCTGGTTCTATTTGGTTCTGTCAGGTTCTGTCTGGTTCTGTTTGGTTCTGTCCGGTTCTGTCTGGTTCTGTCTGGTACTGTCTGGTACTGTCTGGTTCTGTTTGGTTCTGTCCGGTTCTGTTTGGTTCTGTCCGGTTCTGTCTGGTTCTGTCTGGTTCTGTCCGGTTCTGTCCGGTTCTGTTTGGTTCTGTCCGGTTCTATTTGGTTCTGTTTGGTTCTGTCCGGTTCTGTCCGGTTCTGTTTGGTTCTGTCCGGTTCTGCTCTGTCCTGTTTTCTCGGATCACGTCTGGTTTTGGTTCTAAATGTGTGTCTGATTATTGATCTGTTGTCGTTGATAATAATCCTGCTGATCGGTTCTGTGCAGCTCCCCTGGACTCTGGCGCCCTCAAATAAAATCTAATGCAACAGATTGCTGCAGTACTTTAGTTTCCTGCGATGTCAGAATGTTTCTAGGCGATGCGAAGACAAACGGTTCATATTTCACAGAAATTCATTTAAAACATTTTCCATCAAAGTAGCTCCACAAAAACTTGATTTTAATGATTTTAATAGCAAAATAATCACAAATTTAAAAATGTTAAATATTTAACAGTTTGTTAATTAGATCAAATGGATTAATGTTGGAGCTTCAGGCCCGGTTCTGGTTCTGGTTTAAGCTGCTAAAAGCCCACTGGGCCAGGTCCGGGTCCTGGAAGCAGTTCTGGTCAGAGCGTCGGTTCCTCATCTGCGTTTAGGATTTCATCGCTATATATAGAGATGACACACACACACACACACACACACACACACACACACACACACACACGTTCTTCTAAATCCAGCAGTGACTCGGGTGTCACTGGGACAGAACCAGGTCCAGTACTCACTGGGAGCTGGTCAGGTTGTGTCGGCCGCTCTCTGGTTCTGGTTCTGGTTCTGCCTCTGAAAGATTCACCAGTTTGTGTTTTTCTGGTTCTTTCACTGAATTTGCTTCTGACTGATTTTGTGGTTTCATGATGAAATGTTTCTCTTCCTCTGCAGGTCGTTTGATACGAGGACGGAAAAACTTTAAAAAGCTCACTTCCTGTCGCCGACCTGCCAGCCGCCTGCAGAGAGACGGTGACGCGCTGCAGCTCGCACTGCAAGGAAACCTGGAAAATCCTGATTTAACCTGGAAAATCCTGATTTAACCTGGAGAATCCAGATTTTTCCTGATCGTTCCTGGAGGAGCCATCATCAGACATGTCTCCTTTCCTGCGGATCGGCTTCTCCAACTTTGAGATCGATCCCGGCTTGGCGTACTACGAGGAGGTGCTGAACCCGTACTGCGCCGTCTACATGAAGGAGGCCGTGGACACAGGTCAGTGGCTCCGGGTTGCTACGGCAACTGTAATTTGTTTTCCATGACGACTGAAGCGGATGTGAAAGTCCTTCCAGCCTACTTCACGCCGTCAGACGGGCTCTGCTCAGGAACCTGCTAGTTTTACAATAAAAAGAGTTTAACTGGTGAGATCCAGGACGAACGGACGGAAAGAGAAAATCTGGTTTCTGAGGCTTCGAATGTTTTAAAGTCATAAAAATAAAAAATGAATATTTACTTTTTTTAAAGGAAACAAACTGTCAGTAAAAATGTTTGGACCAGGGAAGGCAGACACAAAAGTAAAGGCACCCTAAAAGTAAGTGCACCCTAAAAGTAAAGGCACCCTAAAAGTAAGTGCACCCTAAAAGTAAAGGCACCCTAAAAGTAAGTGCACCCTGCTGTTTATGTCCAGGTTCTAAATTTGTTTGAAAATAACAATCAGGTTCACTTAAATAAAGATGAAGATAAAAAACTAAGTACACCCAGGATTAAGTTAAAAGTCTTTATCAGTGTTCCATTTTGACCTGCAGGAACTTTGACTAGGCCATAGGGGACCTTGGTTCTGGTTCTGTTGGTGACCCGGTTTGGACTCTAGAATCTGCTTTGCTAACCTCACTCCGGCGGCCATCTTGTTCCCAGAGGGAGGAGGCTTCCAGAGTCCTGACCTTTGACCTGCTAACTGTAGAGTCTGAAACATCTTAGACGTTTTCCTCTCTGGAGAACAATGGTGGTTTGGAGATGACCTTTGACCCTTCCAGTCTCTGCGTCTCTGGTTTAGACTGATCAACTGATTAGGGTGTACTTAGTTTTGAACTTGCTCTGCTTCGGTCGGCGGGTCATGCCTGGTGATGTCATCCCAGCTGCGTCGGCCATCTTGAATCTCTGCTGAGTGAAGCTGGAGTCGAAGCTTCGCCTGTTTCTGTGGAACCGCAGCCAAACGTTTTATTTCTGCCGCCGACAGAGAGAAACGCTCGGGTCCATTTCACTTTGGGACAGAGAAGAAGAAGAAAAAAGGCGTAGTTCAAGTCCCAGGAGGAAATAATTATTTTTAATGATTTAACGACATGTTGCAGTAAAATCAGTTTTCAACTGTTGACCAGAAAGGACCCATAAAGTTTCTCTACATTAATTATTTTGCTCAGATTCTAAATAAAAATCTTGTCATTTCCTGTTAAATTGCAGGAAATGACATCATGTTCAGATTCATCATTTCTAGCCCATCTGCAGTTATTTTATGTTTCATGTGAGAATCAGGAGGAAAATCAGCTGATCGCTGACTGAACATGAGCATTAATGGGAAACATGATGTCATCGAAGGCAGAGTTAAAAATGGCTGCCTTCTGTGGGAAACGTTTGTGTTCAGGAAGGGAAATACATTTACCTTCTTTTACTTTTTTTATTTTGGGTTTTATTAGTTTTATAAAAAAAAATTATATTTTACTATATTACTTTGGTAACACTTTATTTGAAGGGGGTTGAATAAGACTGTCATGACACTTTCATAAACATGACAACTCCTGTCATAAACATGAATAAGCCTTCATGAATATTTGACTGTTGTCATAAAACGTCATTCGGTAAATTATGACACTTTTAATACAAAGTTGACATTATTCAAAATGTCTTTGTTATGACAACTTGACATTAACCAGGAAATCATTACTGTTTAAACTTTACCTTTAATAACATAAAGTTACCTCATTTTTAAAGTGCAATCAGTAATACTTTTATAACAAATTTATATCAGTAATGATTTCCTGGTTAATGTCAAGTTGTCATAAAGACATTTTGAATAATGTCAACTTTGTATTAAAAGTGTCATAATTTACCGAATGACGCTTTATGACAACAGTCATAAATATTCATGAAGGCTTATTGATGTTCATGACAGGTGTTATGACATGTTTATAACAGTGTCATGACAGTAATGGTAATAAGGTGTTACTATTACTTTTAGTTTTATGGTGATTTTTATATTTAATTCACTAGTAATAATATGAAAAATATGGTTTTTACCTTATTTCGTTTTTATTTTAAATTCATTTTATTTCTAATTTGTTTCTATTTAATTTAATCTACTTATTACTTTTTTAATTTTATTTAAATTTTTTCTCTATTTTCATGATTTATTTTGTACAGCATATAATTTTCAAACAGTTTTCCCTTTTATATTCATAAGACTCAAACAGGACCTCCAGTTATTAATGAGTTGTCATGGTAACGGTGTCGCTGGTTCTGATCAGGTCCGGTAAAGTTTCAGACATCATTTCTCTGTGTTTCAGTATTTTTGACCTTCATCTTTCTGCCGCATTTCGGCCGGTTGCGTATTAGGAATCGTGTGAAAATGATGAATATGGAAGTAAAACCGAGGCGGTCCGTTTAGTTTTCTGGGTGACAGAAAAACCCGTCATTTCAGACGGAACCGGTTCTGACTCAGAAGAAGCAGGAGGGCAAACGACAGGAAGTCAGCGTTTTCTGAGCGTCACCTTTTTGTTTTTAGCAGTTCACACAGGAACTGGCTCACATGTCACTCTGACAACATGTTGGCTCATCTGGCTGCACAGAACCAGAACCGGCCGGGTTCTGGGCCCAGAAATGGCTCCGATGTTCTGCTGCAGGCAAAGTGGAAACTTTGAGAGTTTAATGGGTTTTACTGGAAACATTTTGGCTAATTAGTCTGGAAATAACTGAACTAGTTTCAATAAAACAAGTAGATTTGTTTTGGACTTTATGGTCCAATTAATCGCGATTAATCGATTATTGGAATAATCAACTAATTTAGCTATTGATTAATCATTAACTGGAGTAAACGGACTCTAAAAATCAATTTACTGAAAGATTTAAAAAAAGACTCAGATCAGTAATAAAACCAAAGCAAAAATATAAAATAAATAAAGATTAGGCTGATGTTTCATTTAAGCCTTTTTACACCGTCAGAAGTAACTGAGTATTTCTGGATTCACAGGTTAATACCTGGATACAAAACGTTGCAGAAACGGAAAAATGATTTACAAATTTTTTTTATTTTTAAAGTAAAGTAAGGAAATGTTATTTTTACATCACATTTTCAGCAATGAGGCAATTCAAAATGTTTTACATGAATGAGAGGAAATACAAACAAGATAAAAGAAAAGCAAAAAGGACTTCATGGTTTATAAACTAATAGAAACATAAAACTACATATTGGTTCCTCATAGTATCAGTAATAAACTACTAAATGTTTCTGCTGTTGGAGTTTCTTTAGCTTTTGCTCCAATATTAAAGTTTAAAGTAAAATCTAAGTCGATGAGCGAGTCATGATCAAATTATGCTGCAGCACTTATCTAAAAAACAAAACCATGAAACTCAAAGAATCAAATCAGAGGCTGTGTGGAAGTGAAACTGAAGCCGTGCAGGTTCTGGTTCCCAAGAGGCGTCCCTCAGACAGGGTGTGTGTGTGTGTGTGTGTGTGTGTGTGTGTGTGTGCAGAGAAGGGCCAGGTGTACAAGCAGAAGAAGCCCACCATGTACCCGCCGTGGAGCTCCACGTTCGACGCCCACGTCCACCGCGGCCGCATCATGCACGTCATGGTGAAGGACCGGACGGTGGAGCTGCGGTCCGAGGCCACCGTGGCGCTGGACTCCCTGGCCACGCGCTGCAAGAAGGAGAACGGCAAGCTGGAGATCTGGGTGGGTGGAGCAGAACCGCACCGGGTCGGACCGGACCGGTCGGAGGACACTCAGAACATCGATTAATGTTTTTCCTGCGATTAACTGATTTAAAGCTACAGGTCACCTCTGATGGCCAGAGGGCTACAGAGATTGAGCCTTAAAGGGCCGGTACCATCTAAAATGGGCTTTGAGCTTTGCGTCATGCTCTGTTCTCCCTCATCATAAACATGAGAAATCCTTTAATCTCCATGGCAACCATTCAGGTGCTAAACGTCTGGGTGGACCTAGCCCCGCCTTCAAGGCTTAGCTCCTCCCCCTCTCAGCTCCTTCAGACTAGCTAGCAGCAATTAGCAAACAGCTGCTGAGCTCATTATAGGAGTTGCTGCTCAGAGCAACGCTGGTAAAAACGTTAAAGGGTTAATAGAGGAGCCATGTTGGGATGACTTCCTGGAGGCGGAGCTTCAGAAAGAGCAGGAGCTTCTTAAAGAGACAGAGGCCCAATTTCAAGAGTTTAAATCTGGAAGCAAAATTTTATTTCAGTCATATCTGACAAAGAATTTTATAAGAACTTAATGTAACATATGTTAGCAAGAAATATGAATGCAGAGAAAGTTTTAACAGTTTTCCAACCGGTGTTTTTTTTATCAATGCTACAACCGGCCCTTTAAGAACATTGATGACCTAAATGTGACCAAACTGAGGATTAATTTAAAATGACCTAATTAACCTGATAAAGCTTCAGGTTTTCATTAATTTAATGGTTGAATTAAATGAGAATTTATTTCAGTTATAATTTAGTCCAATAAATCCTGGAAACTAAAAAGAAGAAAAATCAGAAATGTAAACTTTTTGCTTCAGATGATTCTCAGAAACATTTTCTACTTATTAAAAGTTAAAATGATTTTTGTCTGTTTTGTGGGGAGTTTTTATCTCCTGCTGAGATCAGAGATTTTCTGCCAACTGTTTCCTTCCCAAACAAACTGTAAATAAAATCCTCCAGGCTGTTTGTTCTGCCGTTCCCAGCATCAGGTCCCCCAGATGGAAGGTTTTACTGGTGCTGGTTTTACTGGTGCTGGTTCTGTGTTTCAGCTGGAGATGAAGCCGCAGGGCCGCCTGCTGATGGAGGCCCGGTACTACCTGGAGAAGAGCGGTGAGTCTCACCGGACCTGCAGCCAAAAACAGCAAAACTAAAACTTTACATGATACCATCAATAACTCTACCAGCAGATATTTTCACTAATACAATATTTACTTAACAGAATAAATGTTTAATAAACAGAAGTATAGACCCAAAACTTGAAATTGTGTTTTCTTGTTAAATGTTTGCTGATTATTTTATAAACTGGAAGAAATAATTCATCTTTTCTCAGCAGAAGCAGAATCTTCAAATCAAATCAATCGTTTGAATTTCTCTCTTAGACCGCAACCCAACTTCCTCCATTATTATTATTACTAATATTATTATTATTATAGTCACAGTTCTGATTACAGCTGCAGACATCCTCGAAGGAAGGTCAGAGTTCAAAAACATGTCACTGTAGATACAAAACAAGTACATTTTGCCAAAAAGTTCAGAATTTTTTTAATTAATATCAGAAATGTTCTAGAAAAAAAATTATTGAAAAATCCTTGACTTTTCCTTAAAAAAAATTTGTCTAAAAATGTTTTTCGGTGGAAATATTTGACTTTTTTCCTAGTTTTTTTCTAGAAAATTTCTAAGATTAATCTCAAAACCCTAGGGGTCACAGGGTCATGTCCTGGTGTGTTTCAGACGCTGTGGGTCAGGCCGGCGCCGACCCGGACTCGGAGCACGGCAGAGACGGCCTGTTCACGCTGCATCAGCGGCGCGGCGCCATCAAGCAGGCCAAAATTCACCTGGTGAAGTGTCACGAGTTCAGCGCCACCTTCTTCCCTCAGCCCACCTTCTGCTCCGTCTGCAAGGAGTTCGTCTGGTAAGAAGCGGCCCGAACCAGACCGACCCGGACTTGGACCGGTTCCTGACTTGGCTCTCTTTCTGCTCTGCAGGGGTCTGAACAAGCAGGGCTACCAGTGCAGACGTGAGTCTCCGTGTTTCCCATGATGCATCAGGAGACAGCCGACCTGCGGCGGTGTCCTCCATGTCTCTGTCCCTCTTGTCTCTGTGTGTCTCCCAGAATGCAACGCTGCCATCCACAAGAAATGCATCGACAAGGTCATCGCCAAATGCACCGGGTCGGCGGTGAACAGCAAGGAGACCATGGTGAGTTTATACCGGTTCTGGTTCTGGTTCTGTTCTGGTTTCTGACAATTTGCATCCAGCTGCACTCTGGTTCTTGTTCTGCAGATCCATAAGGAGCGCTTCAAGATCGACATGCCGCACCGCTTCAAGGTGTACAACTACAAGAGCCCCACCTTCTGCCAGCACTGTGGCACCCTGCTGTGGGGGCTGGCAAAGCAGGGGCTGAAATGTGAGGGTGAGACGCCGCCTGCACCGCATGTACACGGCCAAACATGGCCGCCACGCCTCCGTTAGCGTCAGGACGGCCAAACGTGGCCGCCGCGCCTCTGCTAGCGTCGGGACGGCCAAACGTGGCCGCCGCGCCTCTGCTAGCGTCGGGACGGCTAAACATGGCCGCCGCGCCTCTGCTAGCGTCGGGACGGCCAAACATGGCCGCCGCGCCTCCGCTAGCGTCGGGACGGCCAAACGTGGCCGCCGCGATTCCGCTAGCATCAGGACGGCTAAACATTCAAATCTTCCCTCTGATTCTCAGCTGGATTCAGGTCTGGACTTTGACTAGGCCATTCTAAAACCTGAACCAGCTGTGATCTAAAGTGTCCATAATGTCTCTGGCTGTATTTTCCTCCTGCTCCTTCTCTTCTTCACCGATTCCCTGTTCCCTTATTTCTTTGTTCCATAAAATCGTACCAACTGTAGTTAATTCGGTCACAGATGTTCCTCCGTAGGCGGGCCAGTCGATTTGACTGTTCCCAGTTTGTATCTCAGACTGGGAACCTTCTGCTACTGTAGATTTTAACAGTTATTGGACGTTAGTTGTTTGAACTGAATCAGATTCAGGAACATAAAATGTTTCCCATGACAAACCAGATGATGTTTTAGATGCTTTATGTAACATAAGAGGCTTATTTTCCAAACCCATAAAGATAATTTCATGTGCAGCAGGAGGAATTATCATGATTTAGGTCTCGGCGTTGCATCATGTGCAGCTGCTGCTGGAGATGTTCTCATCAGAAATATGATCCAGCAGCTGAAAACTCCTGTTTACAGACATAAAACGCCTCATTTCTCTGATGTTCATGCAAAGTTCAACATTTCTCTGAAAGTTTGAATCAACTGCATCATTTAAACACTTTAAGACAAATTGAGTTTCCAGAGATTTCAGCATTATGATTGATTTTAACAGAACCAAACGTTGTTACAGATGTGATTGCAGTTTTATTTTTTCTGTTTTATGTGCAGAGTGCAGCATGAACATTCACCATAAATGCCAGAAGAAGGTGGCGAACCTCTGCGGCGTCAACCAGAAGCTGATGGCTGAAGCTCTGGCCGTCATCGAGAGCCAGCAGCAGGTCAGGACATCTGCAGATGGAAAACTAAAACGCTCTCTGATGTAGAGAAATCAAGATCATTTCATAAAGGCATAAATATTAAAACTCCCTGATGTTATAAATTCAGACATCTCTAAGAGGAAAACCTTTAAATGTTTAGAGAAAATTAATATTTTCCAGAATGTGAAAGGATCCAGAAAAACATTAAAACATTTCCTGAATTCATCACTGGACTCTTTTAGTTCTTCTGCTGTTTTTATTCACAAATTTCTGACTAAATGTGGAATATTCTAGTTTTAATATCAGACTTATGCCTTTAACTATGGAACATTGTTCTTTTTTTCTAGTACACATGCAATTAATCTAGAAATGTTGTTTTTGGTGGAAATTTGTTCCTCCAAAGTCATTTTATTTTCCTCCCAGCAGTTTTCTTGTCTGATACCAAGTTTTGCTTTACTTTGAGGTTCTGACCAGCATTTTTTCTGAAAATGTACGGTTGCATTTTTTATTACAGCAGAAGCAGCAGAATCTACCCGACTCCTACGGGAAAGGAACGCCTCACACGGCTGCAAAATCGTCTCATTATGAGTCAGATTTCCTGATAATAGAAACAGTTTCATGAGTCATGATTCTGTGTGCTGATCAATGTTTCTTCAGAAACTGAATTGTTTATTTTTACACTTCTTTAAATTTAATCATTATACATAAATCAGTTCATTTAGCTGTAAAATAAATCTCTTCTACTGGCCGGATTCTTTCCTCGACATCTCAGAATTAAGATTTACTCTATGAAGCAAATTAATTATTATTTGCCTCTTACTTAATTTGGGACAAACAGTAATTCTCCACAATGTTTCTGCTAGAGCGAAAAAGTTTAATGGATGAAAATTGCAAATTTTCTCCAAACATTTTTACGTGTTGTAAATTTACACAGTCAACAATTACCAGCAAGAATTTTGGTTGTTCAGTTTACAAACTAAATCTTTAGCTAGAAAACTAAGTTGGAGTGTAAATATTTAGACTAAGCTAGCTCAAAGCTAAATATTTAGCTAAAATGCTAATTCACTTGCTGATACTGGTTACCTTTAATGACAAAGTTTGTCTGAGGATTTTTAGAAAAGTTTAGTTTCCAAAATTGTTTCACCTGTAATTTAAAAGTAAAACAAAATAATTTTTAAGGATAATAATTGTCTAACTTATTTATCTGTTGGGTTTTATTTTCCCTCTGAAGGCGAGAAGTACTAAAGACGGTGACATCATGGGTCGAGAAGGTCCAGTGGGCATTGGCCAGCCGGGCGTGGTTCGGGCGCCGTCCGGGTTGGTACCGGGTCTGCCCGTCACGCCGGCGCCTGCTAGCAAAGGTACGCCGCCGCTGACATCACCACCTCCCGTCGGCTAGCTAACGTCTCACCGGAGGTTTCCGTTCGCCGGCAGATCCGACGGGCGTTTTGTGGGAAGGGCCGACCGAGGTGAGCAGGCCGGCCCCGGAGGAGCCGCTGTACGCCGTCCCAAAGAAGGACCATCAGCAGAAGTTCAGCATCGACGACTTCATCCTGCACAAGATGCTGGGCAAAGGAAGCTTCGGAAAGGTGCGGCGCCCTTAGTTCAGCTGCGCTGTCACACTTTGACTCATTCACACTTCAGCCAGGCTTGTGGTCAGGCCTGTTTGCACGGAAACATGTCACCTGGTGGAGGCGGATCCGTCCAGAGTGGTGCAGAACCTCAGACCCGTCTTCCTGTGGTTCCAGGTGTTTCTGGCCGAGCTGAAGAGGAGCGGGAAGTTTTTTGCTGTGAAGGCTCTGAAGAAGGACGTGGTGCTGATGGACGACGATGTGGAGTGTACGCTGGTGGAGAGGAGGGTTCTGTCTCTGGCCTGGGAGAATCCGTTCCTCACACACCTGTACTGCACCTTCCAGACCAAGGTGATGACCACAGACAGGGCTCCTGTCAGAACGCGGTCCTGCCGGTTCTGACTGGTGCAAACAGCAAAACCAGCTGCAAACACAGGAAACACGAGCTGGAGGTGTCAAAGCTGCAAAAACAACAGGAAGCATGAAAAGCTGCAACTCGCTCCTCAGGGTGAAAGTCCTCCAGGCCACCAGGGGGAGTCAGGAGTAAATTATATCAACTATGTAAAAATGCTGCTGAAAAAAACCATAGACATAAATATGTATACGTATATGATGTCTGTGAAAAAAACTGTTTTGAAAAAGACGTGAAGTTCTTCCTCCAAGTCCTCTGAGCGTCTGGTCCCAGTGTGTTGGTCGACTCCCCCTGGTGGTCTGGAGGACTTCTGTTCTGTGGAGCGAGTGTCACTCTTGTGGTTGTTTTTGTTAGAATCGCAGAACTTTTTCCCTTTGCTCCCATTTCCTGTTGCTGCAGCATTTTGTCTATTTATTACAGAATTTTTTATTTTTTATTTTTTATTGATTTTATTATTATTTTCTTTTAATTTCCCAATAAAGTGTTTGAATTATATGTAGAATTTAATAGTAGATTGTGGTTCTGTTTCCTGCAGTTCCAGTATATTTTTTTTGCAGCTTTTTTCTGTTTTTTTGCGTGTGTCTGGTTTGGGAGTTTGTCGCTCCTGTGTTTGTATCTCGTTTGGATCTGAAATATAACAGGGTCAGACATGAAGAGAGGTTCTGAACTGGAAATATCATCTCAAGGTTCTTTACAGACCAGATTAAAATCAGATGTTTTTTCCTGATTCATTCCTAAACAAGCAGAACCAGGCTGTAGTGAATGGAAGCAGCTGAAAGTCTCTTAATCCCGTCATGTTGAACTGCACTACAGTAAAGTCTCAGTCTGTAGTTTATCTCCTTTCAGTTGCCTGATATTAGAAATATTAAACAGTCAGCTGCAGTCCAGCTGTTTCTCCTTCATGTGGCTCAGAGTTTCTCATGACGCCATTTTGTTTTTCTCCAGGAGAACCTCTTCTTCGTGATGGAGTATCTGAACGGAGGAGATCTCATGTTCCACATCCAGACCTGCCACAAGTTCGACCTGCACAGAGCCACGTAGGTCTTCCTGCTAACGCAGCCAGCAGCCCACCGAGCTGGGAAAAGTATTTACACCCCTGAACATGGCTGCAGTCACAGTTCAGATCGACAAACATTAATATCTGAATAAAAACAAAAAGGATTTCAGCGTCGCCAGACGTTTCGCTCATGAACCTTTACTTACAATAAAAGATTCACCTCCAGCTCTGATTAACGCTGAGCAGGAGTTTGTTTAAAAAGAAACTGAAAAACTCTTAGGAGCAACTTGCTGGAATGGTTAATGATTGTATATTTTATAAATGTACAAATTTTTATTAACTGTATTAAATTTTTATTGCTGTTTATGTTAAATCTGTCGTTTCTGCTGTATGATGTGTGATTTTAGTGGTGGAGCCCAGAAACGATGAAATCTCATTCTGTGAATTAATGATCTGCTTTTCGTCCTGCAGGTTCTACGCAGCCGAGATCGTCTGCGGCCTCCAGTTCCTGCACTCCAAGGGAATCATCTACAGGTGGCGTTGTGCTGCGGCGTCGTGCTGCGGCGTTGTGCTGCGGCGTTGTGCTGCAGCGCTGGTTGAGTTTCGGACAGCAGGCTGACTCTGCGCTTCTCCCCTGCAGAGACCTGAAGCTGGACAACGTCCTGCTGGACTCGGACGGACACATAAAGATCGCCGACTTCGGGATGTGTAAGGAGAACATGCAGGACGACCTGCGGACCTCCACCTTCTGCGGGACGCCGGATTACATCGCCCCGGAGGTGAGCGGCCGCGGGTTTGGGTCGGGGGTTCTGGTTGGTGTGCGAGGCTGATGCTTGTTGCCGTGCCGACAGATCCTGCTGGGCCAGAAATACAACAGCTCAGTGGACTGGTGGTCCTTCGGGGTTCTGCTCTACGAGATGCTGATCGGTCAGTCGCCGTTCCACGGCCGCGACGAGGAGGAGCTCTTCCAGTCCATCCGGACCGACTCGCCCATCTATCCCAGCTGGCTCACCAAGACAGCCAGAGACATTCTAGTCAAGGTGAGATTCAGACCACCGGAACCAGTCCAGTCTGTCTAAGAGAACATGCTTTCTGGTTCTGTTGGTAAATCTGTCCCGTCGTCATGGCGACCAGCAGCGAGTAAAGGTTTTGTCTGACCTGGTTTTCTTCAGCTGTTTGTCCGGGAGCCGGAGGAACGACTGGGAGTGAAGGGAAGCATCCGGCAGCACGGCTTCTTCAGCAGCACGGACTGGAGCGCCCTGGAGCAGCGGCAGGTGGCGCCGCCCTTCAGGCCCACACTGGTAAGTTAAAGAGGAGCTCCAGGTGCTTGGAGTTATTTATTATATTCAGTTGTAGTGGGAGTTATTTTATCTGAACTATTAGTTTATTTTGGCTATTGAGTAATGTTTCTACTGAGGAATATTTTAGAATTGATGTCTTAATGACACAAAAATAGATACATTTATCAAATTGTCAAACACTTGACATCATTTATGTTGCTACAGAAAGAAAAATATCTTGAGAAGCTTCAGATATAAACATGATCAACTCACATCTGAAACTTTGAACATGAATGTGGTCAAACATTTAAACTGAAGAGCAGAGCCTCCTGTGTTCCTGTAGCAACAGATTGTTGTAGTTTGGTTTCTGCTGAGAAACAGAGAAGTTTAATGATGAAAGAGGACCTGGCCTCTGGATGATGGATGGATGGATGGATGGATGGATGGATGGATGGATGGATGGATGGATGGATGGATGTCCATGTCTTTACTCAGACCAGTTGGTGATGTAAATAGGACACCAGTTTTACCATGTAACGAAATGTTTCCTTCCATCTTCTCAGACGTCACCAAGCGACTGCAGCAACTTTGACAAGGAGTTCATCAACGAGAAGCCGAAGCTGTCGTGTGCCGACCGGACGCTCATCAACAGCGTGGACCAGACCATGTTCAGGAACTTCTCCTTCGTCAACCCAGGGATGGCCCGTATCGCCGCCCGCTGACCCAAAGTACCAACACTGGCTGAAACCGAGTCAAACTAAATCTACAGACTGTGAATGCCAACGAAGATGAACCCGTCAACCCCAGTGGGACTGGACTGTGGAACCAGGCAGATCCGGTTTGTTCTGAGGTTCCTCCTAACTGTGATCCTCCTGAGACCCAGATCCATTTTCTCCTCATTAGAACTGTTCATGGATTTATTATGAATCTCAATGCATTTGTTTTCCAGACTGAACCCTGAAGGCTTTAGTTACTCATTTATTCATGGATTTCATGTTCCTCCAGTTTAACACAGACGTTCAAACAGCCAGTAAATTAGTGGGACTTGAAAAACTTTTAAGAGTTACAGCACAGTCTGTAATTAATCACATTTAATTAGACATATCTAATAAATAAGCAATATTCTTATTTCAAAAGCAATTTCTGCTGCTAATTTACTGAATAAATAGACATCTAACCTCAGTAACAAATATTATTTTTAATCTGTTAGGTTATTAAACCATCAGATTGAAGCAAAGTGCTGTTCTAGCCATTTAGCTTTCAATTTAAAAAAAATAATTCTGTTGGAATGCAGAAGCTGACATGATTGGGAACGTCTGTGCTGCTGCGACATGTTTAGCACTGAGATGCTACTTTAGGCTTGAAAAGCTAGGCTAACTGCTTTTAGCACAATTTGAACACAAGTCTTTTCCAGCGTCCCATCGTGTCGGCTTGAAACAGAAATTAACCGCCAGTGGGCCGAGAGAAGCGGCTTTGCTGATGCCGCTTGTACGTCAGATTTAAGGGCGTACCAGAAACGCGAGGTCGCCGGAACCTTCGTATGTTAAAAAAAATGCGGCTAATATATTTAACGCGTTAAAATCCGTCATTAATTATCGACAATAACGCGTTAAGGTCCCGAGCCTAAAATTAAAACAATAATCGGTCTGATATTCAGCTGCCGTTAGCGGCCGCATCTATATTTCCATCTACTCGATTAGCATTAGCTAACAGAGTAACTCTGGATTAGCATTAGCTAGTAACAGGACAACTCCTTCCTTATAGACCATATGGATCACATTGGACCGCAGTTACTGTAAATAAATACCTCTAAAAGTAAAATAAGAGCCTGAATATGGTGCTGATCACTGAGTTTAAGAGTTTATTCCTCTGTTTTATGTTCATGAAAACATGTCAGACTTTTCTCCTCCGAGTCTCGGGAGGATTTCTGGTTCCTCATAATGTGTAAATAAAACTTACATGTGATGAATTATCTTGAGATAAAGTTAGATGTAAATAAGTGAGCTGTACTGTAGTCGTGGACGGTTTCACTCCAGATCCTGTATATTATATTAATAAAGTAAGTTTGTTTTTAAATGTTTGAGTGGATTTTGAGCATCACTGGTGGTTCTGCCTGTCTGCCCTCTTTCATGAGAACAGGAAGTAGGAAGATCATTTCCTACACAATAGAAAAGTCTGACCAGACCCATCAGGTGTTTACTGTCTTTACTGAACAGAATCTGGAAAACAGCAGAAGTAAATTCGGCTATTTTCCAGATTTTATTCCTTTTCCCAATCATCTCCATCCACTCTACAGGCTACATATTCCAGAAACGGTCATCTTTAGTATTTATATATGGTAAAGATGGTTATTAGAGTCATCTGGAAATTTGTGTCTCAGTCATGAGAACTGTCAGAACGCTGATTGGATTCTGGATTCTTTGTTTCAGATCTCAACTTATTCTACCACTTTTTCCTTCCACTAAGCTTTCCATCAATTTGGTTGGCTGAAGATGAAGAGCAGGACGCTAAAGCAGCAGAAGTTCAGAGGGCTAGATCCAACCATATTAATGGAAAGCTTAGTGGAAGGAAAAAGTGGTTCAGTTGTTTGATCTGAGGTCAGAGAACTGGTTCAGATCTTTGAGAACAGAAGAAACGAGCCACAGCTGAATGTTTCCTTTCATTTTTTCATTACGACAGATGGAGACGGTACATTCTGGGTTTCTACAGAACCAGAACAGAATGATAGAAAACAAGCAGGAGGTTCTGGAGGACGTCGGGTCAGGATGCTTTCAGGTCTCCGTCCATCCTGTGCAGATAAATACTTGGCATAGAAACGCTTTATGGCTGTAGTGCAAACCAGGGAATACTGGAGCCCGGTTCTGACCCGGTTCCGACCCACTGAGCTCTTCACCGCCGGCCGGTGGCCCCAGCGGCGCTGCTCCGGTTCAGGCTGCGGCTCAGCTGAGGGAAGTGGACTGTGGGGGTTCTGGACGTCGGCCCATAAAGGCCCAGGTTCCGAGCCGCCAGAGACTTTCTGGGCTGCTTGATGGACGGAAACGGAGAGAAAAGAGGCTGGCGGGGAGCCGAGGAAGAGGAGGGAGGAAGAGGAGGACCGGGGGAGGAAGAGGAGGGAGGAAGAGGCCCAGAGGAGGAAGAGGAGGGAGGCAGAGGAGGACCGGGGGAGGAAGAGGAGGGAGGAAGATGAGGACCGGGGGAGGAAGAGGAGGGAGGAAGATGAGGACAAGGGGAGGAAGATGATGTTGAAGGTTCTGCAGCAGGTCCATCAGAACCGCCCGAGTCCGGCTCTCCGGGCCGGTCTGAGTCTGGAGGAGGAAGAGGAGCTGCAGCTCTCCTCGCCTCTTCATCAGGGTCTGATTCTGGTTCTGGGTCAGTGAGGGAGTTCTCGGTCGCTTGGTTCTCCAGGTCCAGGGAGTCCAACTGGACCTTCACCTCCTCCACCTTCACCTCCTCTTCACATTCTGACTCCCCTTCCTCTTCATCATCATCCTCCCTCTCCTCGGAGTCTCGGACCCCGATCCGGGCCCGGACCCGGGCCGGGTTCCTGCGGTGCTGCCGGGCGTGGTTCCGCCACGGAGAGCCTCTGCGGCTGCCCGGGGATCCGGTGCTGCTGGAGCCGCGGCGCCGCCTGCAGGGCGAGCCGGGTACCGGCGCGCTGGCCGACCCGGGCCGGAAGGTTCTGGACGGGCCGCGGGGCTTCCGGCCCAGCAACAGGTGGTTGATGACGGCGCTAGACGGGTTGAGCTGTGAGGCCAGAACCCGCGTGGCGGGACATTTATCTGAGAAGAAGAAGAAAAGATGGCAGTGAGTGAAAACAGGCTGCAGGGAGAAACTGCAGCCAGCAGAGGGCGCCACAGGAGGACCAATCAGATCCCAGAACCAGCTGGAGAAAGGATGTGAGCAGCTGGTTAGTTAAAGCAGGAAGAACCGGGTCAGAAACTTCTGCCTCTACTGAATGTCCATCAGAACCAGGAGGTTCTGATGCTCGCCAAGTCGGCCATTTTTACTCAGGACCAGGATGAACTTTGACATCCAGTAGCGACGTCTGTTTCCACCAACCAGAACTTCATCGAAAAGTTGATTCATTTCAGCGACTAAGTTAAATTCTGTTTATTTGGGGGTTTGGGGGAGTTCAGAGAATCAGAACAAAATATCAGATCAATAATCAATCCGTTCAGTTCTGGTCTGGGCTCCTGCTGCATTAATTACTGCGTCAATGCAGATCAGCCCAGGTTACCATGGCGATTAAAGCAGGTACTGGTACCGATAGCAGTGGCTAACAAGACTGGAAGCTTCACAATTCAATGTTTGTATAGGTTTATTTTCTATCACGTTTCTTCCTTCCACTCAACTTTCCATGCATATGTATGGACCAGCTTCTTTATGAAATCATTTTTAGATTATTATTGTTCTGCTGGAATAAATCAACGTTTGGATGACGATTCAGTTCCTGAACAGAAACAGGAAGCCACTCCAACACTTCCTGTTTCCTAAAGTTTCGGCCCGCCACCAGCCTCAGCCGTTCTGCCGTTTGGACCCGAGTACCGTGAGCATCCGGGTCAGAACCACTGCCGGGTTTGTTGGGACAGTCCTGCAGAACCCCAGGACTTGTGGCCAGGCCGGGTCCTACAAGTCACACAGCGCGGTTAAATTCTGGACTTCCTGTCGGGGCGTCCGGGTCGGCGGTGCCGTCTCACCTGTGCGGATGCAGAGCCGCATGGCCTGCTGCTGCTGCCGCCGCTTGATGCGGCCATATTGCTTCTTCAGCGCCGTGATGTCGGTGCTCATCCGTTCCAGCATCATGCTGTTGACGGCCGCCTGATGCTCCGCACGACCACTTCCTGCGGCGGTCCCGCCCACGGCGCCCGGGCTCAGCTCGGCGATGCTGCCCTGCTCGACTCGCTGGTCTGGAGGAACAGGACAGACAGACGGCCTCAGGTATCAACTGTAAATGCACACCACACTTTTCAGATTCTTTTCATAGAAAACGTTAATATAGATTCAGCCTGCTGATTTGTCACATACACTGTAAAAAGTATTTTGTGGTGAAGTTTTTAGTGCAAATCTCTCAGCACACTTAATTAAAACTAATTTACAAACTTTCACGATATCAGCTTGTTCAAATCAATAATACAATATTGATGAAAAAAATTATTAATTCTATTGGCAGATTATTTCATTTATAACATGAGAAAAATATTATAAGTGAAAAGATCTTCCAAACTAAAATGGTTTGATCAACAGATTATTAACTTAAACCAGCTTTTAATTCAAGTTTACTGAGATTTACAGTAGAAACTAAACCAATAAATCAATAACACACCAATAATAAGATGATGTTTTTTCCAGTGTAAAAACAGAGTAAAGCTGTCAGGGACTGAAAAGTTTTTTGGTCCGATTGTTTCTGTCAGGAGTAACTGGGTCAGAACCGGTCTGTTGTTGCCATGCCAACCTTTGAGGTGTTTCTGGTATCTCTGCAGCTCCGGGGCCAGCAGGCCGCCCAGGGGCCCCAAGCAGCCCAGGGCCGCCGCCACAGAGTCATCATCATCCACATCGGCGTCTTCCTCACTGTCCCAACCGGACGGACCGCTGCTGGAGGACAGAACCGGGTCAGGATGGAGGAAGTCTGAAAGAACACCAGGAAGGAACGGCTGGCGGACATGGTCTCCATGGAGACGGTACCTTGCATTGACCTTGGTGTTGACCTTGGCAGCAGTGGGAAACGGCGTGATGTTGTAGGTGTATTTCTCTCTGAGTTCGGCCAGCTGGGGGAACGGGAACGGCGCCATGGAGTAAACGTCCTGCAGAGCAAACAGAGCCTGAGCTGCAGGCCACGCCCCCCGGCTGCATGCCACGCCCCCCGGCTGCAGGCCACGCCCCTCCTGATGCTCCCACTACCTGCATGAGCTGCGCCGGGTGCAGCAAGTTCTGCTCCAGCATCTCCTGGGTCAGGCCGCCCATGGTGCTGTAGAACTCGTCCGCCGTCTGGCAGTCCTCAATCCTCCTGGAGACGAGACACACACAGGCTTCAGCTGGGCTCTCCTGACCCCGACCTCTGACCCCGCTGCTCCACTCACTCCCCCAGCCGCTCCCAGATGGCCAGCGCCGCCCGGAACAGAACCTCGGACCCCTCGAAGAACACCGAGTCCCAGATCTTGAGGACGGTTGGCGCCGGCAGGCAGGTGGCGAACATAGTGAGGAACCACTGCATGGTGAAGACGTTGGTGAGCGGCGGCTCGTAGCTGCCTGCAAGACAGGAGGCTCCTTCATCCTGATTCACCATGACGACCCACATGATGATGATGATGGCTTACCTCCAGCCTCCCTATTGGCCGCTTTCTGCAGGTGATGAAGGTGCTGAGACAGTCGGGGCAGCTTGAGCCGCAGCAGGTCCCGGAACACCGCCATGTCCACTGGAGACAGGAGGACACGTCCTCAGCACTACTGACCTTCCCCCACCCGCTGCTGCGCGCTGCCGGCCAGCTGCCTGCAACACGCCTCCTACCTCTGTGGCTCACCAAGTACGTCGTCTAGTTTCACGATACTTGAAATAGGACAAAACTAACTTCAAGATACAGGAGCTCATTTTGCTTAGAACAAGACATTTAATCAAAATGGCCGCCATGGTTGTAACGTATGCAAGATATGTGTGAACTAAAACTGGAAGTAGCCATTAGCCACAGCTAACCAGACAGTTAGAGTCACCAACTACTCAGGCGCTGAATACAAATCTTAGCTCCGCTAACGCTACTGGAAGCTAACTCGAAACCACTAAACACACTAAAAACAATAGACGCCAACGTCCAACTAACCCAAAAGACATTTTAAAAAAGCCAAAGCTAACACTAATACACAAACACACACATAAATAAGAGAGCACTAACGTAAACAATGTAACAACGTAAACAATGCTATCATTGCTAAACTAATCACATAAAAAATTAGCAGAAGCTAACTAAACCGCTAATGCAAAACAACTTAAAAATAATTTGTGGAAGCTATTGCCAAACCTCTAAACATGTTAAATTTGGCATAAGCCAACACTGAACTGCTAAACACAAAACAAAAGAAACTAGCACTAAACAAATAAATAGCAGAAGCTAATGCTAACCATTAAGACGCCTCCATTCCTCCCAGTTGACTGGTGTGAGACTCGCACAGAAAGTTTCTGATTTTGCTTCATATTATCATAAAGTTGTATGAATATGATGTGACAAAGTTCTTCCAAGTTATGATATGGGGAACATTTTATGGCAATAATTGTTCAGTAGGTTTAAAAACGGCAGCCATGTTGAAACATGACGGCTTCAGACATGAGGCTGGGTTTACCTGATAGCGCTCGCAGGTTGTTGGCAAAGTAGCTCTCAGGCAGAACCTTGTCGATCAGGTAGATCATCACCTGAAACCCAAACAGCAGAACCAGGTGAGGTTCTGGAGAACCTTCCGGGTGGCTGACCCGTCAGCTGGACTCACCTTCAGCGCGTCGCTCTCGTTTCCTTCAGTCACCTCCAGGATGAGAGCGGCCAAAACGTTGAAGCCCTGGCAGTAACCCACCGACTTGTTCCAGCGGGCGTAGGCCAGCAGAACCCGCTTCAGAACCACCCGGTCCTGCTCCCCCTCCTGGCCGCAGTAAGAACTGCAGCCGGTGCGATGCAGATCCTGCAGCGGAGAGGGAAGAGTAAACACAGGAGCAGACTTTGACCCTCTGACCCATTTCCATGACAACACCATCCCAGCTGCTGGCTGTTCTGTTTATGTGATTTTACCTGCATGGAAAGGGAACCAGGACGGTTAAAACCAAGAATTTATTCCAATCAAGAATTTCCTGTTTCTTTCCGACAGGAAGTGACACAAACGAGTCCAGGAAGGTCAGAAGGAAAATGGAGATCACATTCAAATATTGATTTAGCATGAAAACGTAGAGCTGTAGAAAGTTCTCCTGGTCCATGAAGCTCAATGAGACCCACAATCATTTCACCTGGAATTGACCTATCAGACGCTGACTGACACTCCTCCTCGGCCAATCAGATCACAGATAAAGTCTGGTTACCTTGACGATCTGGATGCCCAGGGAGTCGTCGTCTGGGTTGCTGCGCTCGTTGAAGGTGAAGCGAAGCGTTTTGTCCCAGTCGATGGAGATGCTGTGGAGGTAGCGGTCCGCTAGCGTCAGCCAAACCTGCAACGACACGCCACAGTGAGCCAGAACCTCCAGAACCTCTCTGGGTTCTGGAGGTCCAAACTCTGAACCCTAAACTGCTCATTTATTTGAAGCTACCAGTGTGATTTTAGCTCTGACTAACAAGAGCTGAAGGTTCTCCATCATCCTGAGCTCTGACTGACGTCACAACAATAACAATAACTGATGATGATGATGATGATGATGATGATGCGTACCTTCTTCCTCCACTCCCTCGGTATCCCGGTGGGAAGCCGAGCCACAGCTTTCAGCGCGTCGTACCACTGAGGAACAGAGACATCACACTTAATGTCCTTTATTCACTGTATGTAAACTTCTGGTTCCTATGTGGAAAAGCCAATCAGAAGTAAGTACACCCCAGAGCCAACGGTGGAAACTTCTCTTCTTTATCCTCAGCTTCAGCAGACCTGAAGAAAGTAACCCCACAGCATGATCCTGCCACCACCATGTTTCACGGTGAGTTCAACAGAGACGCCTCATTCTGCTAAGTGGAGCTGCTAGCATTAGCATAATTTCTAATTATCTTACATCAGATCAGTATTATTATGGCTGCTGATTTTAACCTTGTAGAATAAACTAAAAAAAAAACATTTTAAAATGCTGCACAGCAAAAACTCCAAATCACAGGAGTCAAACTCCAGTCCTCTCCTGTCCTGCAGGTTTTAGATGAGCCACAGGGAAAAACCCTGGAATGAAACGGCTCCATCACCTGGTGTAGATCAGGTCTCCAGAGCTTTGCTATTCTGTCCAGGTGGTTCAGCAGAGGCTCATCTAACAGCTACGGTACAGCGGCCCTGCAGGAGTTTGACAGCCCTGCTCTAAATCCTACCAAGTCGTTTGGTCTGTAAATACCTCAACTACCTTCCAGCAGAAATAGGAGCTGAAATTAAGTCAACAAGTTCTTCATACTGATGAGAAACTGTTACTGCTCCACTGGCAGATTTCCCCCCCATTTTATAAATGAAATAATCCACCTGGGGAACAAATAGTTTCTCATCAATATGAAGGAATTATTAACTTCAGCTAAGCTCCTATATCTTTAAATTTAGTCTTATGTCAAGTTACATTTGTCTAATGTAAAATATTTACTCTAGAAACTGAACCAAAAATCCTTGTGTGAAATGTTTTTGCAGTGTATTTATGTACATCATTATTTAACCATTTAAAAGCTGATAAACATTAATTTACATTAAACAAGTCGACAAGTTTGAGGTTAAATTTCCCCAACAGAAGCAGCAGAAACAGGAAGATATAAAGTTTTGTATAAATAAATAGTTTTTCCATGTGTAAGAGATTTAGTTTGTATTACTTGGTGTCTGTTGGTGCTCTTGGGGCCCCCTGAGGGGCCCGGCTCTCATATGCCTGGGGCCGGCCCTGCGTGGCACTCACCTGCTGGAAGCCGTTGTTTCCCAGCGACGGCTCGATGGTGAACTTCAGCCTGGTGTCAACACCTGGAAACAAACAGGAGCCTGAGCACCGCAGCTTCTACCGGATCAGAACCGGCTTAAAAAAATCAACATTTACAGAGAAAAGTTCGACCAGAACATCAGGATCAACAGAACCGAGTCAGAATTAAAGTCACATCTCCAGCTGCCAGCTTTTTCATCTTTTCATGAATCAGGATCATCTGATCCAAAAGGTTCGGGTTCATTGTTGCTGTCCACTTCCGGTGGTGCTGAATCCGACCCGAACCGCTAAACATCGACAGGAATTGAATTGGACCCGAAGCGAATAGGGAAAACGTTCAAACCGGACCGGACCAAACCGAACCCGTTTCCTTCAGCCGGAACCTTTTTAACCCTTATTATTATGTTAGAAAATCCCGTTTGACCTGCTTGGTCCGGTTCGGTTCGGCTCCCCTGCGCCATTCCGCTTCGTTGCGAGGCTTCGGGGGGGATTACCGGGGAGGACCCGCCCACTTCCCGGTACCGGATTATATTCCCACCCGGGAAAGCGCCCACGGAGATTACAGCAGCGGGACTACACCGGAAGCGCTTTACAGAAAAATACAAAATAAAAACCAGCAGAGTGAAAGAAAAACTGAATCTTTAAGGAGGCGGTTCAGATTCGGTGGCAAATTTTCAGAAAAATGTTTAATTTCTTCAAAATTATGACATTTAAATGTTCTGATTTCAATCTAAATTCTATTTTGGTGTCGGAGATTCAACATAAAAATAAAGAACAGAGCAAAATGTCCCCAGAATGAACTCAGAAAAATTTTACATTAAGCAGGACGAACATGCGGAGCGGCGGTCGGAACCGCAGGTCCACACCTGGTTCCAAGGTGCAGAGCAGCCGCGGGGCGCTGCGGGAGATCCCGTTGCGTTTCCGCAGGACGCTGCTGATGATGCCGCCGACCCCCGCCGGGCCCTGCGGCCGCTGCCGGCCGGCCGCCCGGGGCCTCCTGCCGGCGGGGAGCCGCTCCTGCCTCATCCCGGAAACAGGCCGCTCCGACCGGACTCTGCGCTCATCGCCTGCCGATGCGCTTACGAACCGGAGCCCATCAGAAGCCGAGCCGAGCCGAACTGTTCAAGCAGGTTCAGGTTCTGAAGCGCTGCTTCCGGACTAATAGGAACCAGGCCCAAACAACCTGCCGGTACCGGCACCGGTTCCGGAGAGCATCTGATGAGATGAGGAGGAAGTGGTGGATGCTGCTGATGCTGCACTCTTCCTCCTCCTCCTCCTCCTCCTCTCTGACGTCACCAGGAGGCGGCGCCGGGACGGAGGACGGAGGAGCTAACGGAGGACCGGTCCGGTCCGGTCCATAAAGTTCGACAGTAAAACTGGATATCATGTTCATCAGAAAGGAAACAGTGGGATTATTACGGATTATTTTAATCCTGCAGACGTCACATTATGAACTCCGCTCTTAGTTTTAGTTCTGGTTTCAAATTTCTGAGAAAATGTTGGTTCATGAGCCGGTACCGGTTCTGGACCTGCGGTCCGAATCAAAACCATCATCTACAAAATGAGCTTTCATGTCTGCAGAAATGTGCAGGTCTTTGAAGTGGTTGGAATAATTAGCAGAACTTCATGGACCCAAACAGAAACGGTTCTGATCTTACGTCTCTTCTGGGACACGGCCTGGAGGCACGCCGTGATGACGTCATAGTTCTTCTGGCGCTTGTGGACCAGCCGGTCCCGCCTCTTCAGCTGCCGCAACAGCTTGGTGGACTGCAGGCCGGAGCGGTGCTTCACCTCCTGGATGATGGAGCGCAGCTCCTGCAGGTCTGACAGGAGAAGAGCAGCACAGCGGGTCAGAACCAGAACCAGAACCAGAATCAGAATCCCATTCAGAACCACAACCAGATTCAACACCTTGACTTTTCCTCCCGTTTTGCTCAAACAGACCCAGAGGTCAGTGGCTCTGAACATGTTGGTTTATTATACTTCATTGAATAAAACCTCTTGGTTTATTCGTTGGCACATCCAGCAGAAAACATGAAGTTCATTAAACTACGTCATAAAATTTGTAGTTTCTGTAAAGAAGGAAACTTTTTCCTCCTAACTTTGAAGTTTAACTGCTGAAAGCAGAGCAGCAGGAAAACACCAGAACCGTTATCGGACCGTTTCCTCTTCCTGACTCTGCATTGTTAGCAGGCAGATGGGGTGTGTGTGTGTGTGTGTGTGTGTGTGTGTGTGTGTGTGTGTGTGCAGGGCAAACACTGCCTGTCTCTGCATGCCAGGCGAGACTCCAAGGTGACGACCCAATCAGCTCCACTAACCAGGAAATAACCAAACTTTATTAAAATTATTGATTATTCTGATGGTTTTTAATTTAACCATTTCACCTTTTTAGTGAACATCAAAATTCATTAATACATGCAAATAAAGTCATTCACTTCCTTTGTAAACTTAATTTTACCAACAGCAGCGTTCCTTCAGTGAACTCTTGATTTGTGAAAATCCAACATACCCTAACCCACTTCATTGCTTTCTGCAGTTTCAGTTTCAGTACCGGGTTCTGGTCGAACCCAGATAGCAGACCCTTCCGGACCGCGCAGGGCCCGCCAGCCCCCGCCTCGCCCCGCTCACCTTTCTGGGCCAGGTAAGTCATCTGCAGCCGCCGGGTGTGCCGCTCCTGCAGCTCCTGCAGGAAGCCGCAGCCGGAGTTGCTGCGGGCCGGCAGGGTGTCGGAGCCGGAGCCGGTGGAGCTGTCCCAGCTGTCCGCGGTGCGCCGCCCGCCGCCGCCGCTGAACGCGTCGTAGAGCTCCACCAGCAGGCAGTCCACGATGGAGCTGCGCGGGGCCGCGGGCTCCGGGTCCCGCAGCTCCGCCGGACGTGATGAAGGTGAGGATGAGGATGATGATGTGTCATTGTGGGTCCACTGCTGGAAGCCGCAGAAATCCTCCGTGGAGTGGCTGAACACGCCGCTCTCCTCCTCGGAGCCCACGCTGCGATCACATATGTTCACTTCCAGAAGTTCCTCCCGGCTCGGTTCGAGCCCCGCCGCCATGTTTCCGGCCGCTGGACCGGTTCCGACCCGGAGCGGGTTTATCAGCGGAGTGGAAGTTTGTCTGAGTCCGTGGAAGACTCCACGGCTCCCCGCGGCAGGTGGGCCGGTCCCGCCGCTCCCGCTGCCTGCCTCCGGGTTCCGGGCCGGACTTCCCGGATCCCCCCTCTTTGACGGAACAATGGACCGGTCCAAAGCGACTCCTGAGCGGCGGACAAACTTTCTGCTGCTCCACAGGCAGGTGCAACAGGTGTTTCTGCCAGCCAATCAGAGACGAGCCGAAAATGATCGACCAATCAGCTTCCTGTGGTGAGCAACCAGCTGAGCAGGAAGTATCAAGATGTTTTTCACTTTGCTTAAACTTTATGAACCTTTTCAGACTTTAACACGTAGTTTTATTAACAAAGTAAATGTTTAATAATTTAATATTAGAATAAAATATTTTATTGTTCATCGGTGATTCAGATGTAACAGCAGATCATAGAATCTAGATTCACATAAAGAAACAAAAAAGTAAAACAGAATAAAGAATAAAGTACTCTACAGTAAAACCAAATTTATAACATAAATACAGTTATGAAAACAGCAAAGTGCAAATGAGTTAAAAATGTAGCATTTTATTCAATTTAAGTTTTATTTCTCACAACAAATGTCTCCAGACTTTTTACAGTAAATTATGTCAATTCAATAATAATACATTCCAACTGATCATCAAACAGTAAGCTCATTTAATTCATTTCCAAGTTTAAAAAGTCCGAGCAGCAGAGCGTCGAGTCACTTCCAACAAATAGTAATAATTTCTAGAATCATAAATAACTTAAAGAGTTATTTATGACATGAGTCTGATTTAATGTGAGACAGAAGACGATGGAAATATTTATATGTTAGTTTTATTGTCTTTATTTAGTATTGCTCAAAACCCTGAAAGCCTGAAATGTTACTTTTTACATTTTTATTGTGAATTTTACATTTTATAAAAGTCATGAAAGAATAAAAAGATAAATAATATAAATGATCAGCAATAAATAAAATAATAAGATATAATAAAATTGATTAAATGGATAAATAAACTCTCCTGCTGATCATCTTAGCTCTGATTGAAAGTAAAAAGTACACCCTCCGGGACCGGGTTCACTTTCTTTTCATCAAATTTTCCTTTTTAATCTTTGTTTAGTTAAAATCATGACGCTGGTTTTAATCTAACAGGGGCATAGCGCCCCTGCTGGATGGATGCGGAGGATGACGTGATTTTCATGGAGGATTTCCATCCGGATCCGGACCAGATTCTGGTTCTGGACCTGATGATGAGGCTGCAGGTCAGATAAAGAGTTCCTGAAAGACTGAAGGACTTCAAACTTTAATGATCTAAAACTGATTAGTAGCCGAGTCCTGATTTTACAGATCCGCTCCATTTTTCAGCTCAGCATGAGACTGACTGCGTTTAAAGCTTCATTGGGTTTATTTTTACAAGCCCGTTAAATGAAACTCTTTACAGATTTTGCGGTATATTTTCTTTAATCTTAGTCAATTTTATATTGTGTCGATTTTGTTCAACTTCATTGATTTAAAAGAGGAACTTTCAGAGGAAGCATTTAGTTTCATAAGTAAATCAAGACGTATTAATTAAAGAGGAACCAGAATTATTATTTTACATTTATCAATTTCCCTAGTATTTCAATGTCTCATTCAGTATAGTTTAATTTTATTTTTCATTTTGTATTCTATTTATTGTAATAATAATATGTCAAGGCTTTTATTTTGCACAACCCAGCTGTTGTTTACATTCTGTTCTGATGACTACTTCCTGTAGTAAAACCAAGCTGCACCAACAGTGCCCCCTGCTGGATGGACATGGATTTACTCATTAAACCTTAACTTATATTTTATTCAGATTTACTTATTTATTTAAAGTTCTTTCTCTCTAAGAATTATATCTAAACTTATTTTTACATGACTACTGATTTAGTTTCTTAATTTATTATTTTAATTATTTCAAACTTGTAAAATATAGGAACATTTTAATGTTTTTAAACAAATCATAAATTAACATTCAGTCGCTGTTTAATTTTTTTATAAAGGTTTCAAAATAAAAGCCGGAATTGCGCCGGGACTTTTATTATGAAAGGCGGTCCGGAAGTCCCGCCCTCTCCCCGGTGTCTGAGCGGCTGTTTCGGCGTGCCTCCTCTCAGTGCTCGGTCTCTGCGGACGGATCAAGATGTCGGACCCTTGCTCCTTCTCCTCCTTCTCCACCTGCCTCACCAAACACCTGAACCTGCAGCTGCACGTGGACTTCGACAGACACGTGATCAGAGGGAAGGTCCAGCTCACCGTGGAGGCTCTGGAGGACCGCTTCTCCGTTCTGGTATGCTGCCCGGATCCGGTGCTCCGGTACTGACCCGGTCTCAGCCTCTGAGCTCACATCAGGCAGCTTGTCAGTGAGGCGAATAAAAACAGAGATAATTTGCATAGAGTCTGGTCTGGGGTCTGGTTCAGAAACACGGAGCTCAGGAAGATCTGCTCAGAGTTCTGCTTGGTTCTGGTTCTGCAGCGGAATAGCCGCAGGTCCAGCTGAGATGGTGAAGTTTCCTTTTCCAGCTGAGGTTTCTCTTTAATTCGGCTCATGAAGGCCACACTTGCATCACATATTTAATCATTTTAAGGAGTTAAATCTGAGCAGAGTTTTGTTAGAAGACGGTGAACTTTGATATTTGGTTCCGGAGTGAAAGAGAATAATTCCTCTGTGGCAACATAAACACACCGCAGAAAGTGTTTAAATGTTTTATTTGTGACTCATCCACACTTCCAGTTGCCACTGTGTGGAGTCCTGAAGTGTGACGTCATGAGGACAGGCGTTTTCACCTGAGCTCTTAATATTTCACTGAAGTGCAATCTGAGTGTGAAAGAGTCAGAAGCAGCAGAATGAAGCATCAGATTTCATCTGATTAATGTTTTATATTGATGACCTGGAGCTGCAGTGATGTGCGAACTTTGTTCTGGTCCAACTGGTTTGCAGCCAGGTGACTTTTATCAGCAGGTGTGGCTTTATCTTGTTAACCCCTTAATGAAATCAGTTCTTCTGCTGCAGACTTTGGACAGCAGGGACCTGAACGTCTCATCCGTGTCGGTCAACCAGCAGACGGCCCACTTTGAGCTGGGCCCCAAACACAGCTTCAAGGGGACCCCACTGGTCATCACGCTGCCCTTTGACCTCTCCAGGTGAGCTCACGTCCAGCTCCCCACCTCCTGTCTGTGTCATGTATGACCTGTCTGTGTGTCTGGACCAATCAGGGGCCAGCAGGTGATCGTGGAGGTGACCTATGAGACGTCTCCATCTGCGTTTGCGCTGCAGTGGCTCACACCTGAGCAGACAGCGGGGAAGAAGCAGCCCTACCTGTTCAGCCAGTGCCAGGTGACATACCTGTCAGACATACCTAAGGCATAGGAAGATGTGGTCGGGTCCAAAGAGCAGAAGTTCTGGTTCCTCTTGGTGGTTTCTAGCTGTTGAGACACAGATTTGGTTAAACTGATGTTTCTTCAGTGTTGAGCAATGGCCCGGTTGCTCCATTTCCTCCTGGTTCTGGTTCCAAACTGGTTCCGTTTCTAACGAAGCTCCTCGTCTTACCTCTGAAAAACACACAAAACCGGTCTGGAAGGTCCAACAGAACCAGAACATCTGCAGAGCAAATTGATCAGGATCTGAATCTTTGCGCTGCACTTTGTCTGACAGGCTCATCACTGCAGGAGCATGGTTCCCTGTCAGGACACGCCATCCATTAAACACACCTACTACGCACAGGTAACACACACACACACCTGCAAAGCTAACACACACACACACACCTGCACAGCTAACACACACACCTGTCTCCAGGTGTCTGTCCCGAAGCAGCTGGTGGCGGTGATGAGCGCGGTGAGAGACGGACAGGAAGTGGATCCTCAGGACTGCGGTCGGATCGTCTACAGGTTCCGACAGCCGGTAGGCCACGCCTCTTTCCTTTATGACATCATCACCGTCTCACCTGAGTTCAGGTCTTCACAGTCTGGCTAAAGTATTCACACCCCTGATGTCTTTTCATAAAAAACTCTGAAAAGTGTGGCATGCATTAGTATTCAGCCCTACGAGCTCTGTGACCTCACTGTTCCCCTCTGTGACCTCTGACCTCAGGTGGCTATGCCGTCCTACCTGATAGCCATTGTGGTGGGAGCTCTGGAGAGCAGGTAGTGTTTGATGATGTCATGGCTCCACCTGTACCAGGTGACAGGACCTCTGCTCTCTGATTGGTCTACAGGGAGATTGGTCCCAGGTCCAGAGTCTGGTCTGAGATGGAGTTTGTGGACAAGGCGGCGTCCGAGTTCTCTGAGGTGAGTCGCCATGGTAACCGTGATCCGATCAGAGAGGCCGGCCCCGTTCCGCTGCTCTCCCTCACCTGTTCTGGTTTCACCTGTCTATCAGACGGAGACCATGCTGAAGACGGCCGAGGACCTGGCCGGGCCGTACGTCTGGGGTCAGTACGACGTCCTGGTTCTGCCGCCCTCCTTCCCCTACGGCGGCATGGAGAACCCCTGCCTCACCTTCGCCACGCCCACTCTGCTGGTAAACCTGAATGCGCCTGCCACACCTGGCGCCGCGTCATGTGACCGTCCTGTTGACCAGCTGTTTCCTGTCTGTCTCTCCTCAGGCTGGAGACAAATCCCTGTCTGGAGTGAGTAACATCCGGGTCACACCTGGGTCTCCGTGTGGGCGGGGCTTTAATGGACAGGTTAATCCAGGTGGGATGGTGTCTGTGTTCCTCAGGTGATCGCTCATGAGATCTCCCACAGCTGGACCGGGAACCTGGTGACCAACAGAACCTGGGAACACTTCTGGTAACCAACCAATCGAGTAGGGGTCCAGTGGGTTTGGGTGTGATGCTCAGGTGTGTTCTGCTCCCAGGCTGAACGAGGGTCACACCGTCTACCTGGAGAGGATGATCGGCAGGCGTATGGAGGGGGAGCAGTTCAGGCAGTTTAAAGCCATCGGGGGCTGGAAGGACCTGCAGGACTCGGTGAGAACCAGAACCCATCAGTACGTCTCCTCAGAACCATGCAGGTGTTTCCTCTCACCGCTCGCCTCACCTGTCGCTCAGGTGAACACCTTTGGAGCCAACAACCCTCTGACCAACCTGGTGCCCAGCCTGCAGGAGGTCAATCCTGACGACGCCTTTTCCTCGGTGCCCTACGAGAAAGGCTTCGCTCTGCTGTACCACCTAGAGGAGCTGATGGGGGGGCCAGGTGACCCCTGGACACACACACGCACACACCGACCTGGTTCTGGTCCTTTGCTGATACACCTGTTGGCTTGTCTCTCCCTCAGAGGTCTTCATGGGTTTTGTGAAGTCCTACATCCAGCGATTCGCCTACAGCAGTGTCACCACTGATGACTGGAAGAACTACCTGTTCACCTACTTTAAGGACAAGGTGAGGAAACACCTGGGAGGGCCTCTGGGTGACGTACCTACTCAGAACATTCTGGCATTATGGACCTACTTGGGCGTTTTCGGTTTGACGAACCCACTTCTTGGCTTTTGGGGTGATGAATGCAGTCGAGGACGTACTTGGGGGCCCTGAGAGGACGTTGGTTTGACCAACCCAGCAGCTCCCAAGGACCCCAAGGTCGGTCCTTCACCCCAAAAGCCAAGGAGTGGGTTGACCCACTCGAGGACCTTCTGGGTTGATGAATATATTCGGGGGCCTTTGTGGTGAGGAACATTTCGGGGGGATGAATCTAGGGTCCCTAGTTCTGGGGTGTACCAGGTTTTGTTGGCTTCTTGGTTCTGGTGGTTCCTGGTTCTCAGGTGTCCAACATGTCGTCCTTCAGGTGGACATCCTGAACAAGGTGGACTGGAACGGCTGGATGTTCACTCCTGGGATGCCTCCGGTCAAACCTCAGTAGGTGAACCTTACCTGTCCTCCATCTGGTCCCTGAGACCCGTCCTGACCCGCTGGTTTTGGTTCTGATCCAGGTATGACACCACGCTGGCAGACGCCTGCATCGCTCTTACTCAGAGGTGGATCAAGGTAAGAACTGCTCCTCACCCACACAAGTCCCCTAGAGGCTTTGGACCGAGACGTCTGTCCTCTGAGCTCCGTCTGTCCTCTGTCCCCTCAGGCCAAAGACCTGAATGTCTTCAGCCAGTCGGATGTGAAGACACTGTCGTCCCACCAGCTCATTGAGTTCCTTTCTCTGCTGCTGCAGGAGGTAAAGCCGGCCCTCTGTGTCCCCCTGTGACCTCTGTGTTTCCCTCTGACCTTTGACCCCTGCTCTGTCCCTCAGGAGCCCCTCCCTCTGTCTCATGTGAAGAGGATGCAGGACGTCTACGATCTCAACGCCTCCACCAACTCAGAGATCCGCTTCAGGTGACTCATTGGCTCAGATCTAAGCTCCGCCCCTCCCTGGCAGCGCTGCATCCTGATTGGCTGCTGTGTGTCCAGGTGGCTGCGGCTGTGTGTCCGCTGTCAGTGGGAGGAGGCGGTTCCTCTGGCGCTGAAGATGGCGACGGAGCAGGGCAGGATGAAGTTCACCCGGCCACTCTTCAGGTACCGACGATGGGTCCAGGTGAGTTGCAGGTAAACGCTGCCGTGTTTCTCACCTGTCCTCCATCTTTGTGCCTCTGGACCTGCAGGGAGGTTTTTAACTTTGAGAAGTACCGTGAGGAAGCCGTGCGCGTGTTCCTGGCTCACCGCGCCGCCATGCACCCTGTGACCTCCGGCCTGGTGGCCAAGGACCTGAAGGTGGACGCCAGCAGCACCGGAGACCGCTGAGGCCCGCCCGGTTCCGACCCGGTTCTGAACCTGCAGTATTAAATCCAGAACCAGAAGCTTCTGTTGGACCAGATCAGGTTTTTATAAAGATCTCTGAGCGCAGCGCCGAGTCGTGTCATTTGTTTTAAACTGCAGGGAGAAAATCAACTTTCTGCATCTCTTTGGTGTGGAGTGCACCTCTTGGTTTAGACCCTGGTCTCCAACATGCGGCTCCAGGACCATGAGTGGTTCTCTGGACCTTCCACAGCGGCCCTTAACTTTAAATAAAGATGTAATAACAAATGCAGGTTGTTTTTCCCGCTGTAAAAAATCTTAGGAGGCATTTTTGATCTTTTATTGCAAAAATCTTGCATAAATTTAAAATAAAACAAAACTAAGTTAGAGGTAACTTTTCAGCTGTTAATAACTCAATATTGACTTAAAACAGTAATTTACCATTTTAACTTGTATAGGAAAATGTTTGGTTCTACTGGCAGATTATTTCACGTTTGGATCAATGTTAACGATTTAAGTTAAGGAATCTCCTGTTTATTTGTAAATTAGTTTAGTCTTTTTCCATTAGAAACTCGACTAAAACACTTGGTTATGTTTTGTGTTTTTGCAATAATTTCACTAAATATTCACAAAAGAACGTCTGAAAAATAACCAGGAATATTTTTGAAAGTTGTTTTTTAGGGTTGGAAACTTTTTTTTTTTCAGTCAGGAAGACTTTTTTGATTTCAAGCTCTTTGACATTAGGTACAAATACATCAACGTTAGAGGAAATAATGGATTTTTATAGCATTTTCTACAAATATCAACATCCCCTAGAAGAAAACCTAAAAACTGATATAAAGTTATAAGCAGTATAACATTTTAAAGATCCTGTTGCCATAAACACGTTTTATTTACAAAAGTAAAGTTATAAACCAAGTGAAGGACAGGAGTGGATGGTTTCAGTATTTTTGCCAATAAGCAGAAGTTTGTGTTCAGCCAAATTAATTCAGAGCCCGGTGAGTCATGGTGGTGGCAGCGTCATGCTGTGGTGATGGAGGCGTTCTGGGTTTTAATGTCTGAGCAGAACAAAGATGAACAGGTAAAGGTCATCAGGTCGAGTTTCACCATCAGCTTCCTGTTGGCGTGAAGCAACGATAAATTACATTCTGAGTTTGTTCATCAGGAGGAAGTGAGGAAACGTTTCACCAACTTTCTACAGAGTTTACATGAACCAGAGACCATCAGTTATTCGTTTTCCATAAAAACATCCAAACTGGATGCAAAGAACATAAAACTCAAACATTTTGGATGATTAATGTGAAGCAGCTGGTTCCAGAGGTCACAGGGGTCAGAGGTTAAATGGACACACCTGGGCAGTTCAGGTGACACACGGTCACCAAGGAAACAGCCTGGAGACGCCTTCAGACATGCAAGGTAACCAACCATTGCCCCAAGCAGCGTCTCCCAGCCCTGGTCCTCCAGGTGTTTCCTTCAGTTAGCAGGTGTTTGTTGGCCTGCAGTCAGCTGAGGTGCATTAAAGCAGGGGATTTCTAAACCATGCAGGTCGGTGTGCCTTGAGGACCAGGGTCGGGAAACGCTGCTCTAAAGCTCAGGGATCCTCTGGAGCGTCAGGAGTTCCCCACGGCGCCGACTGGGCCCGGTTCATTTTCAATCAGCAGCTCAGAGTGGAAGATGTCTGAGCCTGTAGCCGAGTTAGCATCCACACGGAGATGCTCGTCACCACGGCGACTCAGAACAAAATACTTTGGACTTTCTTCCAACTTTATCATTTCAAAAAGTTAAACAGCAAATTGAAAATCTGGACCTAAATGTAGCAAAAACTAGTTTGAACTAAAAACTGATTGGCAGGAAGTGAAGAACCCGTCCAGCTGCAGGAAGCAGGCGAAGCGTCTTCAATCTTTGTATTTTAAATCCGGTTCTAGATGACAGAACCTGACACTCAGTGAAGGTTCTCCTAAAACTCGACAATTTGAGCTGAAAATCTGTTTTTATTAAACACAGGAAGTGACATCAGAGAGGGTTACAAGACCTGCGGAGGAAATAAGGCAGATGGTGACCAGAACAATCCGGTTCTGCAGGAAACCGAGTTTAGGTCACATGACCATCAGCTGGCTCATCCCATAATACTGTGGGTTACCATGGTGACGCATAAAGAAACTCAGATTATTAATCAACAGATGAATCCCAAAATAACTGGAATAATCTGGGATTATTTATCCATTTTTATCTTATGGATGATTTTGTATTTGTACATTTTTAAAACATTAGTTTTATACTTTCATATTTTAAAAATAAAATTTTATTCATTGTATATATTTGTTACATTTTTACAGTTTAATTTTCAATTATTTTATTTTTCCAATAACCAGGTTAGTGTTTAAAACCATATTCAGATTTATTGAAATAAATCTTTATTTTTTTTAATCTTTTTTCCTTATTGGTTTTTAGCATCAGACCAGGACGTATTCAGCAGATTAACAGTTTTTGTGTTTTCATCATTCTTAGTTAATTTGATCATTAATTAGTTTTGGTTTTTTCTTTATAATCACCAGTTAAATAACTTAATTTTTTTTAAACAATCCTTCAGATTATTTGGATCAAAGATCTTCAGTTTGATTATTGATATTGGTTCTGATTGCAGATCGTCTGAAATCTGAATCAGAACCAAATTATGACATTAAAAAGAATCAAAAAGAAAGACCGGATCAGAACGTTTCTGCAGGAAGTTCTGCTTTAAACCAGGTCCAGAAAAACCTTTTGGGTCAGTTACCAGAACCAGAACCAGAGGAAGAAACACCAACTGAAGACCAAACTAACACTTTAGCCAGAACCAGCAGAACTTCCAGGTTCTGGTCCGGTTCCGTCAGGCCCAGCTGAGCGCCCCGGCCAGCAGAACCTCCAGGTTCTGGTCCTGCTGGCGGTCCAGTAGGCGCTGCTCCTCCAGCAGCGCCACCAGGGCGTCGCGCTGCTCCACCACCTCCAGCATCTCCTCCAGGATCCGCCGCTCCTCGTCCAGCTGCTCCTCGCCCTTCAGGTGATCTGAAACATCGGGCTGGTTAGACTGCAGCCCGTCTGGGTCGGAACCCGGTTCTGTTCGGGTCGCCTCACCGTCCACGGCCATCCGCTCCCTCAGCTCCTGCTGCAGGCGGCTCTGTCGGTCCTCCAGCTGCAGCTCCCGAGCGCTGAAAGCAGAACCGCCTTCAGTTCTGAGCCGACCCGGTTCCGATCCGTATCCACTCACATACTCACAAGATCATGAGTTCCGACTCGTATCGGACCAGAGAGTTCTTCTGCTGGACCAGCCGGAACCACTGCTGCATCAGAACCAGGTTGTCCAGTTTGCCCAGTCCTGCAGTCACAGCAGAGCCGCGCATCAGGCGCCGTCGTCATGGAAACACTACAGGTAACAGACACTCACCTCCCAGGTGAAGCTCCGTGTCTGGACCGTGGCTGGAGTCCTCCCAATAGTCTGACAAGAACCAGAACCAAGAGTTCAGGAACGGGTTCGTTTAGATTCAGGTGAGTTCAGGTAGAAGCTGCTGGTTCTGGTCGGGTTTCCTTTGGGTTTTATTAAAACCCAGGTGTGTGTTCAGGTGTGTTCTGCCGCCTGGCTCACCTGCTTCTCCTCGCAGAGCTTTCTCCACCATCACTCCTCTCTCCTCCAGCTCTCTCTGCTTCACCTCCACCTGCTGCAGCTGCCGCTGGATCATCTGAAGCAGACGGAGCGGGATCACGGTCTGGACCTCACCTGTCCTCAGGTAAACTCACCTGTCCTCAGGTAAACTCACCTGGGCCTTGTGCAGCCTCTTTAGCTGCTCCTTCTTGGCCTGCCTCCTGGCCGCTCTCTGGACGCGGCGGGTGATTTTGGCGTCCAGGTCTCCGTCTCCGTCCCCTTCCTGGTTCTGGAACATGGCCTCTCTCACGCTGAGGCTGGACGGCTCTTTGGGCGGGACCAGGACGCCCAGAACCTCCGTGGGACAGGAAGACTGTCCATCCGAGTCCGGGACGCTGTCCCTCACGCGCTTCTTCCTCTGAAACAAATGGCGGCTCAAACCTGGACTGACAGCATCGCTTGCAGGACAGGTGAGTCTTACCTTGACACCATACGACCGCCTGAAGGCCAGAGCATGAGGGACGTAGACCTGCAGACAGACAGGAAGTGGACACAAGCAGAACCGGAAGGAGTTAGTCAGCTAGCGGAACCTCTCGGACAAACGAAGGTTTCAGGTTCGGCTGAGATCGTCTCCAACCAAACCGACTCTCAGTTCCTACCTGCTGGTTCTCCTCTTCATCCTCCTCTTCCTCCACGGAAACTTTCTGCAGTTCAGACACGAGATCGAACAACTGCAACTGCAACTGGAAGACCAGGACATCACAGTCCAGGTATTAGTCTGATCCACAGTCTGCTCTAAACCCTTTACATTACAGGAGTCTGTG